TCAATCATCATCACTTATGAAGCAAGTTTTCATCTCAAACATATGTTTTCATATTGCAGGAGCTTGGTGTGTATGACATCCTGTCATTTGATCCTGGGCTTGGGAAGACACTGCTAGAGTTTAAGGCTCTAGTAGACAGGAAAAGATTTTCGGAATCTGTTCCTGGAGGAAGTACAACATTGGAGTTTGACTCTTGCTTTCGGAAAACCCAAATTGAGGATCTTTGTCTTGATTTTACACTTCCTGGTTATCCTGATTTTGTTCTTTCCTCTCGGCCTGATCATAAAATGGTTAAGTCTCACCTAGCTATGATCCCATTTATTGTTTCATGCTTTTCATTTGGTGAACCGTAAATTTAATTTACCCCATTGTTTAGGTAAATATGACAAACTTGGAAGATTACGTCTCACTTGTGGCGGATTCAACGGTAAATGCTGGTATTTCTAGACAAGTGGAAGCTTTCAGATCTGGTTTTAATCAGGTGTGTACCATTATGAAGTGGCTTTTCAGTACAAGAAGGACGTTGACTAAACTACCTCAATGCCTTTTAATTTTGGTATAAATTTATGGTTTCTTTCATCATGATGTTTCAGGTTTTCCCTATTGAACATCTTCAGATTTTCACTGAAGAAGAATTAGAGCGTTTGCTATGTGGAGAACGTGATTCTTGGGCTGTATGTTTGCAACCACTTACTTTTTATTTTTTAAAGGCTATTGACTATATTCCTAATTTATAAGTTTTTATCTTGGCAGTTCAATGAGCTCCTTGATCATATCAAGTTCGACCATGGTTACACAGTTAGCAGTCCTCCCATTATCAATGTTAGTCTGCTCTCGTCTTTGGTTTTGTGGTGATATTTCACGTGCATTTAAAGAAATTTCATATTACCATTTTCTTTGAATCAGTTGCTGGAAATCATACACAAGTTTGACCAAGAACAGCGAAGAGCGTTTCTGCAATTTGTGACCGGGGCACCTCGCTTACCTCCTGGAGGTTTTGCATCTCTCAGTCCGAAGTTAACTATTGTTCGAAAGGTCCCTATCAGAAAAACATCTTCTTCCTTTTTTCCAGATTGCTCTTTATTATTTGTATAGGCATCATTTGATCATTGTTTGCTTTGTCTCTCTTACAGCACTCTAGCAACTGGGAAGACTTAGACCTACCAAGCGTCATGACTTGTGCAAATTATCTTAAGCTACCACCTTACTCTTCGCAAGTGAGCTTTGTTTCTTTATAGCTTTTCATGTTACTAGAAGTCTTTTGTAGGGAAACATTGCACCGACAAGATGCTTACATATTTTCATATCCGTTTTCAGGAGACGATGAGAGAGAAGCTCTTATATGCCATTACAGAAGGGCAGGGATCATTCCACCTTTCATAGCCTTCCATTTCTCAGTCTGAAGGATCAGTTCAACTGTACATTTGTAATTATTAGAGTAGGCCTTTGCCGGTGTAGACAAAAAGAAGGGGTGGCTGGTGATGGTGGTGGAACTGATTGCTGAAAGGGGAGCTAAATCTGGTGAAACAAGAGGAGGCTTCTTTGACCGACTAATCGGTAGGACTCTGTAAATACCTGGAAAGTTTAGGTAGTTGGGAAATTTCAGGTAGCTGTACAGAAGAAAGGATGGGGAAGTTTAGATTGATACGTTGGACTTTAATAATTTTCTTACTGAGCTGTAGACAGGTTTTGGTTATTACACAGCTACCTTTTTGGTTGCAATGGAAGTTTAGATTGAACAGATTTGCAATTGTATTTTGTTGACCGCTATCATTAGTCGCACAAAATGATGGCGGTCGAGAGCGTCGTGGTGAGGATGTTCCAAGACGTTGTAAAATTCTGTCGAACCAAAGCATTTTCGGTTTGGCTTGAGCAAGTTTTGGCTGTTGAGCACGGCCTAGTCACCAACTAGCTCTTAGTCCAGTAGTGCTTCTGTCGGATCGATGGCGAAGATTAGTCGGTTGATTCTAATGGGAGCCGACCATTGCGGCTGACCTTGTGTATCTTAGGGTGAGCACGGCCTGAGTTCAATCAGTTTTATCCCAAATTCACGATCAAAATAATAGCAACATAACAATTCAGTTCGGTTCGGATTTGACAAACTTCCCTAAAGAAACCGAACCAAACCAACGTTCAACGGTTTTGGGCGGGTTTGAGCCGAAATCATTTTTTCTTTTGCATCTTCTCAAGTTTGTTACCTCAAGCACGGCAAAACAAAATTCAGAAACGAAATTGATGCCGAGCTCTAGCCCAAATATATAAAGGACATACAAGGAGATTAAATAATAACAATATACATGAATGTGCGAGTATCATTTCTTTAAATTTATCTATTCAATCTCTTTTGGATAATTGAAGTGACATCACCATACAAACTTCATAATATGAACGGTTTAATTCATTTAAATGATCTTCGTTAAAAAAATCATTTGATTTGTAGATTATTTGTCCATCATGTGTGGAACAAATCGACAATTTATGATAACAAGTAACATTTTCATAAGGATTAATCGTCAACTTGTTTAATTTATATGAATGACTAAAAGGTAATCAAATGAAAGTTTCTACAGACGATGAATGGAATGACCAGTTTGAGTTATGATGTTTGTACATAAAAATAATGTCAAGTCGTGCCATCTAGTGTTGTGATTTCGTCCAAACCGTATTATAGGTAGGTCATTGTGTGACATTGCTTAATCTTCATTTCTTAATGTTAATATATCTTTGTGTTAAAAGAACAACGGTAATTACATCCTTATGTGAGGAATGACCTCTTAAATGTAAGAGCCATACAATATCATTTTTCCTTTCATTTTTTCGATTACAAAATAGTTTTCTTTTCAATTTGACTAGAAAATTCTTACATGATTGACTTTAATGGTGAATAAGGGGTTTCATAAAATATGTCTCGAGAGTTAATTCACTTCAGATCATAGCGACTTTGCATGAGAGTTCTACTAACATGTCTGTCATTGGACCTATTGTTGCGGACTCAAGGTGCCACTGAATTTGATCACTGAAGCAACTTCTTCTCACATTTGTTGACATGTCAATGAAGTTGCTCATTACCTTGCCCATCTGGCCCTTTGATTAGCTAATGATTTTACTGGGTTTGAGGAACCTCCTATTATAATCTATGATTTGATTGAGGAGATTCCCTCTCTTGTAATTCTTAGCCTTTTAGCTTTTTCAATAAAATTATGCCGCTTGATGTACTGGACCGTGTGACCAGCACACTGAAAATTTCCCTACATTCTATGCTTCTCTTTTAATGCTTAGTGTTAGTTCATATATGTATATAGTGCTCTTTTTAATGCTTCTCTTTCCAAGTAACTTTATGAATACACACAGAACAGCCAATGCTTCTTTTCCCCAAAGAAAGATGTAACATTAGACTTATTAACAGTATTATAATGCAAAGTTTATTCTTATATATAACTGGTCCGACCAAAAAAAATTTATGAATACATGAAGGTTATTCACTTATTTCTTTATGGAGTATTACTATAAAGTTTTATTGTACAAGCTGATTTAAGAAGAAAATTCAATACACTAAAGCTTGAGATACCTTTTTTCTATTTGCTCGAAGGCAAGTTGCAGTCAATGAAATTCTTGTTTGTCTCGTGTTCAACATATAATCAGTGTAGACGTAATTTCTAAACAAGTGGAGTTTGAGTTTTAAATTGGCAAAATTTTAGTTTGGTTGGTATTTGTACACACTTCTAACAGTCCAAGTGATGTTTGCAAATTTTAAAATTTCAAAACCACCCTACCTTGCCTTAAATTTAGAAGAGTAATTTTATGCACATCATATTTCATTTTTGTGCACTCTTATTTATTTTCAGAAAATGTTAAAGAAACTATATTTTTAGACCATATTTTATAGATTACATGATATGGTGATTGATGGTTGAATTTCTTATTTTAATCATTAAATGGAGAATCCAACCATCAACTACCACATCACATGTTCTGAAATATATAGTTCAAGCAGATAGTATCTCTAGCATTACCTTTACTTTCGGCCACTGATAAATAAACAGCATATGTTGATTTCAACTAGAAATTTATAGAACTTTTTGTAGTATTCCAGAAAATATTTTTTTTTTGTCAAATGGTAGATTTTGTTAGATTAAATGTTAGATTAACCACCGACGGGGTTTGAACTCACGTCGTCATGCAAAAAATCAACACATTTCCACCATTGTGGTAAAGAGCGACTTGCAAGTATTCTATAATATATGATACTCCAAATTTTTTTAACCATTAGATTTTTAGTTTAATATACAAAATAAAAACTAACCGTTAAAATATCTAAAACATCCTATACTAGTATCCTGAGAAATTCGTCGCATAAAGAATTCGGATCCTCGCCAAATCCTCTTTACGAGGATTTTGAGAATCCGTGAATCATATCTATTCGTCGTACATCGTGCGGTTAAAAATCATTTTAAATATTTTTAATTAAAATTAAGGAATTGTTATTAGTACTCCAAAATCTCATTCTACACTCCAAACTTTTTATATTAGGAAAGAAAAATAAACTTGTGAGGAATGTAGAATGAGATTTTTGAAGTGCTAATAACACTTCCCTAAAATTAAATACAAATAATATTTGACAAAAACTAACTGTACAATGTACGATAAATAAACATGATTTACAGATTTCCAAGATCCTTGCGAAAAGGCCAGAGAGGATCCTGTTGGTCACATAAATAGCATTTTGTTCAACTGTCAGTGTTGCTGGCTAAAAATAGAAACCAACCTGTAATTATCCCTAATCTGAATATCTAAATATCTGCAAGCAGCAGCAGCCGCAAACGCAAAATAAACAAGAGGATAGAAATATAGTGGACGTACATACCATCCCTTCCACTCACCCAAAATTCCCTCCTAATCCCAAATCTCTCATTTCTCCACCTCCATTATCTTCTTCTTCTTCTTCCTTCAGTCTGTTCAACCTTCCCCAATTATTCATCCTCTCTCTCTCTCTCTCTCTCTCTCTCTAGATGGACCAATCATGAACCTCAAACCACCATCTTCTTCCCCGCTAGCCCCCAACTCTAACAACTTAATTCCGGTAACCCACCACTCTCTCACTCTCCATTGGGTTTCTTCCCCTCCCTACTTCCCCTCCATCTCCAACCCCACGCGCCCCTTTCGCCTTCTCGCCACCGCCAGCCCCACCAACCCAGCTTCCGACCTCTCTCTTACACCCGCCGCAGCGCCGCCCAATGAAGACCACAAGCTTCTAACGCTCCTCCGCCAGAGGAAGACAGAGGAGGCTTGGATTGCCTACACCCAGTCTACCCACTTACCCAATCCCACTTGCCTCAGCCGTTTGCTCTCTCAACTGTCTTACCAGAACTCTCATTCCGGCCTCACACGCGCCCAGTCCATCATCACGCGCCTCCGCAATGAGCGCCAGCTCCGCCACCTCGATGCTAACTCCCTCGGCCTGTTGGCCGTCTCTGCCGCCAAGGCCGGCCAGACCCGCTACGCTGTATCCATTATCAAGTCCATGCTCCGCTCCGGCTACCTCCCTCACGTCAAGGCCTGGAGCGCTGTTGTGAGCCGCCTCGCTGCCACCACCGATGACGGGCCTTCCGATGCGCTCAAGCTCTTCTACTCAGTTACACGCCGTGTCCGGCGGTTTGCAGAGCCGGAGCTGGTGGCGGACTCGCGGCCGGACACGGCAGCCTTCAATGCTGCGCTTAATGCTTGTGCCAATTTGGGGGACACTAAGAGGTTCTTGAAGGTGTTTGATGAAATGCCTGAGTACGGCGCCAAGCCCGATGTGCTCACCTACAATGTTATGATCAAGCTGTGCGCCAGAGCTGGAAGGAAGGACTTGCTTGTTTTCGTGTTGGAGAGCATTCTTGACAAGGGCATTGCGTTGTGTATGACGACGTTGAACTCACTTGTGGCGGCTCTTGTTGGTTTTGGTGATTTGGAAACCGCAGAGAAGATGGTTCAGGCAATGAGGGAAGGGAGGAGAGACCTTTGCAAGATTCTAAGGGATTCAAATTTGAATTCGATGAGTTCAAATCCGAGTCTAAGCAATGGGGATGTTTTCGAAAAGTTGCTTCCTAATTCGGTTAGAGGAAATGATTCGGAGCCGCCATTGTTGCCTAAAGCGTATACTTCTGACTCTAGAATTTACACCACTCTAATGAAGGGTTATATGAATGCCGGTCGCATTACTGACACGGTTCGGATGCTGGAGGCACTGAGGCACGAGGATGATAGCGCAAGCCATCCTGACCATGTAACATATACAACTGTTATTTCTGCATTTGTGAAGGCTGGCTCCATGGACCGTGCTCGTCGAGTGCTTGCAGAGATGACAAGAGTTGGTGTGCCTGCAAATCGGATTACGTATAATATTCTTCTCAAGGGTTATTGCCAGCAGCTGCAGATAGACCAGGCCAAGCAGCTGCTTAGAGAAATGGCTGATGATGCGGGGATCGAGCCTGATGTGGTTTCATATAACATCTTGATTGACGGATGCATACTGGTTGATGACAGTGCTGGGGCTCTTGCATTTTTCAACGAGATGCGAACGAAAGGAATTGCACCCACCAAGATCAGCTACACCACACTGATGAAAGCGTTTGCCTTGTCGGGTCAGCCGAAGCTGGCAAACAAGGTGTTTGATGAGATGCTTAATGATCCTCGGGTGAAGGCTGATTTGGTTGCCTGGAATATGTTGGTTGAAGCGTACTGCAGACTCGGGTTGGTTGAAGAAGCCAAGAAAATCATTCAGAGAATCAAAGATAACGGGTTTCACCCTGATGTGGCAACTTATGGCAGCCTTGCCAATGGAATTGCATTGGCTAGAAAACCTGGAGAGGCGCTTTTGCTCTGGAATGAAGTGAAGGAGAGATGTAGGGTGAAAGAAGAGGGAGAAACTTCAGGTGCTTCCGACCCGCCAACACTGAAACCGGATGAAGGGCTATTAGATACTCTGGCTGATATCTGTGTCAGGGCTGCTTTCTTTAAGAAGGCTTTGGAGATAGTGGCTTGTATGGAAGAGAATGGGATTCCTCCGAATAAAACCAAGTTCACTAAGATTTATGTGGAGATGCATTCGAGGATGTTTACTAGCAAGCATGCCTCGCAAGCCAGGCAGGACCGGAGGAGCGAGAGGAAGAGAGCAGCTGAGGCTTTCAAATTTTGGTTGGGTTTGCCAAATTCTTACTATGGGAGCGAATGGCGGCTAGAACCTATAGATGGAGATGAATGATATTATGCTTTTGAAAAACCTGGTATGTAATTCCAGTGAAAAGAAATATTCCCATGTAATATAATCATGTTATATTATAGGCAATACATAATTTGGTCCTTCACAGAACACATTTGATATGTGTGTTAAATATCCAGGCCACTGTTTCGACTACAAAATTATCCATTTCGAAAATCTAATACAATTTGGCTTTAGATTCTGCAAGTGCTTTTACTTCTGAAACAAACTTTAAGATGGAACAAATTTTGATGTGGCGTGAACTGCTGCACTAACCTTAGCCTCTTGACCTTGAGGACGATTGACTCCGAGAATAAGACGATGATAGTACCTGAACAAAAATCATGGTTAAATAAGAGCTGCTGGACATAAAAATCATCATCGACATTGAAAAATTTAATAGGGCTAATTGTTTGTGTTGTCGGCATTGGAATCTTATGAGTTACCCAAATAGGTTGCCTATGGTTATTTGCAGTTTGTAGTACCTGGTATGTCTTTGCTCCTTTCTTCAGTAGATAACCAACACTGTTTAAGTTGTCAACAAATGTGTCGATGTCTGGAACTCTTAGACCAATCCTATCTGCCAAACTGTATATTTCCTGAAACAAAAGAGGATTGCGCGAATATGAGTCACTAAAGGAGCATGAATAATTGCAAAATCGCATAAAAGCATGCAGGCATACAGAAATTGTAAAACAGTCTTTCTGCTGCAACTCTGATTGCCTATTGAGGGCACTTAAGAACCGTTTTGCTTCTTTTTGTTGACTCATCCCTCCACTCCGACCAAAATCCACAACACCATGCTCATCAATGTACTTGTCATACAAGGATTCTCTCATGATTTCAACCACATCCTGCAAAATAGAATGATTCAGAAGGTCTGTCCAAACTCTGTTGTCTTAAATTTTTATCGATTGTGGAGTAGTCCATTAGCACATGAATAGCTCAATGATTAGCATTCAAATTCTTTCCCAATAGGACTACTGAAAATACTGGATCAGTGAATCTCACATCCGGAATACTAAGTCTTCCATGACAATGTATACTTGTATTGGATCCTGGACCTTCCTATATTTGGAAAGCAGGGTAACTGAAAACATTTGTTAGATAGAAGAATAAGAAGTAACCATTGCATCTTGGGCTGTTATTTCTTCTCTCAAATCTAGCCTCGCTCGAGCTTCGGTCAGCCTCACCAGACTCTCTAATTGCCTTGCTGTTATTGGTGTGCTATCAGCAGATGTCGCATGGTCTCTCAGTTTTAAGTAAAACTTTTGCAGGATTTCTGCTGCAGGCTTTGACATCCTGGTTCACCCCAAAATGAAAACTCGAAGTTAAAAAAAGGGAGAATTGAATCGCAATTCTTGCTACAGAAATTGGATGCACAAGAGTAACACAAGTCATGTGAAAATCACCTAGGAAACACAAAAGTTCTTGCATAAGCAATATACTTGCGGAGGAGTTGTACTGGTAATGGAACAAAATCCTCATCCTTCTTCGGGTCAAGCCTCAATCTTGAAACCAAAGAACCACCTTCTCCACTGATATCTATGCCTTCTGCACTCTGCGATGCTGCACTTTTTGAAGCAAAAGGCAATATCTTGTTAAATAGAGAATTGTTTGTATGGGGAGCTGCATTTTATGATATGAAATGACTCCCTTGCTTTACAAGAAAGAACTAATATGTCTGGATATGTTAGACACTACCTCTACGAATCTTTTTTGCAGCTGGCGAATTTTCTCCAGATCCAGCATGAAGCTAATGATAAACAACCAAAATCCTTGAATTAAACACTGAACAAAGAAAATTACCTAGTAGTCTGTTATCGCTTCTTTTGACCTTTTTTGGTTACTCCCATTACAAGTTCTTGAGGACCTGGTTTACTAAGCTCCTACCATACTCAACCAATTTCATTACACATATATGGTATCAAAACACTAGCAAATAACTAAAAAGACGTATTGTAGGTAGGGATCAGAAACGATAACTTACTGACATGATGTGTTCTGAGACTCGCTTATCCAAAAGTTCATTAGGTTTGTCAAGTAATATGAAAACCAAATCAAATCGCGATAAGAGGGCAGCACTTATTTTCAAATTTTCATTCACTGTTTTTGCACGGCTGCAAATTTGAAATGTTAACGGTATCAAAAAATGCGGGACTGAAATGTAACAATATCAAAGCTAAATAAATGTTATTTTGTTACTGAAGGGAAATACGAATGGGAATTCGCAGATTGATATAGAATTCTCTGAAATGAACTATAAGGGGTATGAAACAAGTTTCATGTGGATGCAGTGTAGGAAATGACAATGGGATCAAAATCTACCACAAAATAGCACTTAATCCATTATCAGAATTGTAACAGTCCTCTCACCACCGAGTTAAAATTAGAAAGCATTACTTATAATGACCACCAACAGGATTTGCAGCTGCTAAGACAGAAGTTCGTGCCGACAAACTTGCCACCAGTCCAGCCTTTGCGACTGAGACACACTGTTGTTCCATGGCTTCCAGTAGAGCCTGCAGCAATGTTAAAGTAAAAGAAGCTTCTTGCAGAAATTAGATAATAGAAAATAATACAGAACAACTGGGGACAAACCTGATGCTCTGAAGACATTTTGTCAAACTCATCAATACAGCACAACCCACTGTCTGCAATTACCATTGCACCTAATCCAAAATTTGATTTATCATTTATTAGCGCACAGCATTTTATACTTGTTCATTACTGACTGAGTCATGGGTTGCAAATGATATGGACTTAGACGTCTCTGTACCTATGGCATTTCTAAAAGTTAAAAATTTAGTACAATTATGTAATAGATGAGAAGTGGATCAATTATATTTCTCTTTCTCATCCACTATGTGTAGCCGTACCACCTGGAAAAATTGTGAGTTATTGCTTTGGACTACCAAATCAATTATTTTGTTCATAATTGTTTGAAGCTATAACAGCAGAACACATACTGGAAGAAGAATGATTATCTTTTCCCTTGAGAGAGATGGATTACTAGTTAAGTCTCACCAATCAACTATGAAGTTAATCATAAGTAGACATTCATAAGCAGATATTGCATTCAATTACAAGATAGCATTAGGATATCTTTATTGCCAAGAAAATAAAAGCAAAAAAGGATGATGAACGAAAGAAAGAAAAGAATTACCAGCTTCAAAACCATAATCACTTGTCATAGGATCCTTTACAACAGCAACAGTGAGGCCAGCTTTGGTTGTGGCATTACCACACACATAAATGCCTCGTGGAGAAATGGCTGCCGCTGCTTGGAGAAGCTGACTCTTGCCTAGTCCGGGATCACCTAAAAAAATCAGGAGGTACATGTTCATCTTCTGTTTTCCGTCCACAAATTACCAGGTTTAGTACCATTTTTAAGAGCATGATGGGTTTCAAATATACCAACAATTATCACATGGATATCTCCTCTAACAGGAACCTTGTTCTGATCATTTGAATTCTTCCGCACACCTCCAAAGAGTGCCAGCAATATTCCCGCTGTAAAAAAAATAAGTAAATTAGCATCATCATAATGCTTAATTATCACGTTCAGGAGATATTCTTAGTGAGGAGTCAAATGTGGAACTTGAGAAACCAGGTGGGTTTCATCATCCATAAGTGACTTATATAAGATATTACCGTTGGCATCTGATTTTCTACCAAAAAACAAAACCCTTATTCAGTGAAATTTTAAAAGAACTAGTAGTAGTGAAAGAAAACTAGGGACCTAGTGACATTATTAATAGAGATATTTCTGGATATTTTCCTTTTCATCTAGTTCTGAATAAGTTGGTGCAATGTTGTCACAATTACAAATGATATCACAATTAGAGGGATAAAATATAAGAAAATTGAGGAAACTAAATCAGTAGATAACCAAAAATGAAATAGCATGAAATTTTTAGGGACACAATATGGACAATAGTATTAAGGTTACCTTTAACAAGCTCGTGACCAAAGATTGATGGACAAATAGATTGAAGTAGTTGCCTGAAGGTATCTGGACCATGTTCCCCAGAGAACTTCACAATGAATTCCAAATCCCTTGGGGAAAATGAGGAAAGATCAGCAAGTGCCATAGGTCTGTCATTAGAACTAGAATCTTGTAAATCCTCGGGCATAGATTGTGACTTTGTGTTTTTAATGGAAATAGCTTCTAGATACAAATAGTAAATTCCTTGTGTCTTTCCCTTCGATTTGCCTGAAATGATAAATAAATAAATAAATAAAATCCAATGTATATTAGTGGTGGGAATTGGTTCAATAACTGCAATTGTCTGTCATTCATGTAATTGGAACTATCCTTTTTCTGATCAGTTGCACACTTATGAATCAGACAGAATTATTTCCAAAGGCATAGAAGCTTGAATGTGCATGCAGGATACTGGATTGAATTAGGAAGAATTTCTTTACCTCCTCCAATGTCCATGTAATTGTTAATGACTCTTATAATCCCAGTGAGAGTCACCACATCTCCTGGGATGCATGCATCAACAAGATCTTCAAAAAGTTCACATTCTACTGTTCGAGGCATCCTGCCTTCTTCATGATCTTCAGGCTTTAGTAGCTCCTGTATCCTTAAGAAGCATCAAAGAATTTTAACAAGGTTCAATAAAGGAAAATATAAAATGTGAATTTGGTTCATATCCAAAGTGCCTACCTTATCTTCTGAAAATCTATCGTCACAGCAGTAGATCGAATGGGATCAAAATTTCTGCTCTTGCACCCATTTAGATCGCATGTTGTTGGCGGTGAAAATTTCCCATCAGGACACATGCGTGTAATACTTGTTTTACACTTCACACAATCAAAATCCATTTGCACCACAAAAGGTTTGACAGTGCTAACTTTTACTACTGTTCCACGCACAGATACGATCTTGTCTGTCATGCAATCACATCCACATTAATTCTATACAATTGACCAAATGTATAACAAGTGAAAACCAAAAAAAGGCCTTAGAGTATAGTACACATACCAATATATGCAGCTTTTAAGTTCTTCAAAGCAATCATGGATTCGGGGTAGTTATGCAATCGAATATTAATTTTGGTACCGTCCTCTACCCTGCAATTGTCCCATTGAGTCAGCAGGACTTTGTGAACTGCAGCACTCATGCATAAGAGGGTTATCTTGGGTTTCTCCTCTAAAGCTTCATAAAACTCCTCAACATCACAAATTTTTCGAAATTGCTCGAAATCAATCGGCAACACCGCTACACCGCCATCATCCTTCACCTGCACCAAGTGTCACTCCAAGTACAAATTACGAAATTTAGCCTCAAATCAAATGTTTCATAAACCCTAAACCCTAATTAATGCAATTGATGACCGATACCAAGTAATCGGTGTAATCAAATTATACATTTTGCGTGGAATTAACAGATTTTATAAAAGAAGGAGAGAGAAATGAGACCTGGGAAAGGAGAGCTTGCCCCGGCGTCGTGGAGAAGAAGCCGATGAGGGAGTGTGTGAGACTGAGCCATGGCTTGTCGTCGCCGAGCTCGATTTGAGCAAAGTAGAAAGGCCAGATGGTGTGGAGGTCAGGTGCGTAGGAGGAGCCGTAGTTCGAGCTTAAGCTTCTCCGTTGTGCTCCGTACATGGCGGTGGAGAGAGAATGCAGGTGCAGCGGTTTGGGTTTTTGCTTATGCGCTTATGGTGTTGAAAGTCCCGGCCCTCCTGGGTTTTGGCGGGAGAAATGAAAGGAGTTGTCCGATAGGGCGGTGGATTTGAAGTCGTTTTGCGAGTATGCGATTGCGATCGCCTTATCTTAATGCATTTTTTTTTCTTATTTTTTATTCTTACATTAAATTTTCACTAATTTTTGCAAAATGACTCTTAATTTTATTTGCACAACCTTATTCTTCTTATACTAATTTTTGTAGTAAATAAAGTCGAATGTGTAGGAAAAGAAAAATGATGCATGATTACTAATTAGACAAAGTAATGTTAAGGACAACTGCTTGGTAAAAAAAATAAGAATAATATTAAATTGACTTTGAATTACAAGAATTAAAACCCATAATTTGATAAAGAGTAAAGATTCATTACTTGGCGGAAGAATCTTATAGCACGTTACTAACCATATCAGTATCATGGTCATTGATTACATCTTTCTTCCACTTGATCATTATTAAAAATATCTTAACATTAAACCGTTTCTTGATCATTATGAACCTTTGTACCTCTACGAATTTTCTTTGATACATAATTCGCAAAAGAATAGTAATTACACTATTAAATTAAACTCTTATACACAAAAGAAATACTTTAATTTACAAACACCTTAACAAATATAATATTGTGTGTGTGTCGGTGATAATCGAACTTAAAACTTCTCACTTACAAATGAAGAGAAATACCACTAAATCGTAGTACTAAATGACAAATATGTAGTATTAAGTTTACTTGAATAGAATCAAATAATCATTTTCTTCTACTTATATTCCTTTGCTTAAGACAATTGACCCTAAAATGTCCAAAGGGAAAATTATTTTTCTTGCCCTTATTCTTTGTGAACTATTTAGAGTTACCTTTTTATTATTCTTTTGTGGCTTATTACTTCATGAACTTTCAGATAGCTGAAGACTACCCTCTCTGTTAATCTTGTCATTTTCCTTCATTTGGTTTCAATCTAACTTCCTTTAGAGCAACTCCAGCGTTAGAGCTCTCCCCCCAGGCAATTAATACATGACCCCTTCTAGCAAACTATTTAGGAGTGTAGAACTTGCATTTTGTCTAGAATAGGATGACCAGCATAGCCGCGAATATGTCGCCTCTTGAATATGGGAGCATCAATCATAAAACCCTCCTCGTTTTTGGAAGATGATAGATATTCAAAGGGGAATTGGATCCCCATATCTTAACTATTCATTGTGTATCGTGCAATTAGAAATTATTTGACTTTTTTTATTTAAAATTAAACACAAATAGTATCTGATGAAAATTGATTGCACGATATACGATGAATGACTAGGATATGAGGATTCCTAAGATCTCCACAAAATGGATCTGGAGAGGATCCCTTCCATTTAAAAGAAGGGACTCTTATTTTTTTAATGGGGATTAGTTGTGGGTCCTACGCTACATCGAACTTCACCATCTATTTTTCAAGTTGCACCTCATACATCATCTTTGCGAAATATTAGCCAAATCAGAAATATTTGAGACATCTAATTGAGTTCAAAAAATTTGACGAACACTTTGTTATATAAGAAACAATGCAATTTCATCGTGATAATTAAATAAGCAAATGGTTTCGGATTGAATTGAATTTTTGTAAAGATGATCTATGAATTGAGACTTACAAAATAGACTGTTTTGATCGTTGAAATTCGATGTGGAGTAAGTCTTACAACTAATTCCTAATTTTTTTTTTCTTTCCAAAAAATAGGAATCCCTTCCCTTAAAAAAAACATAAGATCAACTATTTGTATATAATATGTGAATTGGTAAAAGTCTGACAATATAATAATGGTCCCACTAAAAAATTGCTCGAAACGGGAGTATGTTGACGAATACTCAGATAAACTCTTCTTTACTTGCACTAATCATCTTTTCACAAATTTGGTCAAACACCAATATGGTTACAGCTAAAGCAAATGTGATTCTAAATTTTTAGCTCAAGATTATTAAAGAATGAATTTAGGATAATTTTTTTCTTATAGTAATTTAAAAAAATTTATGCAGACTATTCTAATTTAATTTTGTGAAAATTTTAACATAAAAATATTTAGATTCTGATAAATATTAAAAAAATTACGAAATCAACATCATGAAACTTATGGAACGCTATGAAAAAATATGAAACACATAAAAGATATATATATTTTTTATTTACTTTAGCCATCAGATTTAAATTTGGACTGTTAGATTTTTTTTTTTTTTTTTTTTTTTTTACCGTTGGATTTGATCATATTATGTCACATCCCGGACCCGATTTCACTCTGTTGTAGCACGATATTGTTCGCTTTGGGCCCTGACCAAGCCCTTACGGTTTTGTTTCTGCGAACTCACACGAGAACTTCTCAGTAGGTCACCCATCCTGGGAATGCTCTCGCCCGAACTTACTCAACTTCGGAGTTCTGATGGAACCCAAAGCCAGTGAGTTCTCAAAAGGTCTCGTGCTATAGGAGGTGGACATGTACATATAAGGCACATCATCCCCTCTCTGTTGGTTGATGTGGGTGTTACATATTAGATCTTAGTTGTTGGATTCAATGAATTTATAAAAATAAAACTAAAAAAAAAATATACATATATGGGGCCAACCCCACTCACCCGAGGAAATTCTAGCCTAAATTTTTCCCATAAAAGTTTTGGGTTAAAACTCATATTTGCCCCAAGGGTTGGAGTAAGTTGAGCTTAGAACCTAAAATTTGAGTTTTACTTTAAGAGTTGAAGTAGGTCTTACAGTTTAGGTATTTATTTATTTTTAATAGAATTTCATTGGTAACAAAAAAAAAAAAAAGAGAATATTGTTTGTTAGGGATATTTCAGAATTATTATATTATATTTTTTCTTGGTCAAACGATATTTTCTATACTAAAGGAATGAGATGGGTTTAGCCTCATATTGAGCTAGCTGGTTCAAATTCGCCTTTAATGAGAATTGAACCTGCCTTTAGCGAGAATCGAACCTAAGACCTCTCATCTACAATTGAAGAGCAATACTACTAGTTCATAGTACTAAATGACATACTTTAATTATTAAATGTTGGAAAAATACATTGAGAGATTAGAATGAGAACAAAAAATTTAGGATACTCCGGAGCATAAATTTTTTTAAATGTTTTAACCATTACATCTTAATTTTATATTTTTAAATAAAAATTTAACATTAAAACACTGGATATATCTAGGCCTAACACAAGGCCCATGCAATAAGTAAAACAACGTTAATCCGGCCTGAGCAAAGTACACACAAGACGCTCCCATTATCCTTCCCCCACACATATAAACTCCCTTTTTTATTTTGTCCAAAAAAAAAAAAAAAAAAAAACTGCCTTTTTATTTATTTAATTATTATAATTCCAAATTTGAACCGCCACTTCTTCGCTGTTCAAATATTTCATTTCATTTTACTTTCTCCACAGAACGACCTGCGCTTTTTCCATCACTGCAGCAACCCCGATCCAATCCGATTCGATTTCGCTGGAGCTCCAAAATGGACAAGTCCGAGTCGACGAACAAGAGGACCGATGCCGGCCAATCGAGGCGTCTTAGCCTTATCGACGTCTCGGCCGAGGACGATTCGCTCCTCAATTCATTTGCTGGAGACAACATGTTTTCAATTTCAGGTCCTTTCAATTTTACGATTTATTTGGAAATTTTTCAATTTATTTTCGGATTTATAGGTAATTGGAGCTTTTTCTAGAAGCATATTGATCTAGTTCGCGCAATGCTCGGAATGGTTGAAATTGAACTGATTTCTTCTTGTTTGAAAGTATATGATTTTTTGGTGCATTTTGTTCTTTTCGTCCATTCGATACCTGATTAAGTTGGTATCGGTATTGTTATCGAAAAGGGGAAGGTGGGAGATTGTTTTTGCGCAGTATTAAATCAGAAAGTGAAAACTTAAGTTTGTGTGATGGAAGCATGAAAAATTGATTTTCTCACAAGTCTTGAATTTGTAATGCTGTATAAGTATGTAATGCAAAGGCTGTGCCTGGAGCGATGAGAAGAAAAGAAAAGTACCCTTCGCGATTTCATAATTTCCGGATTGCTGTTATTGTTACTGAACGCTTTTCAATTATTTCTGTGGTTGGTGTCACATTTAATATAATCTTTCGTGATGTGGTATGCAGAAGACCAGGAAAGCAGAATTTTTCAGTTGTTTGAGGGTATGGCCGGTAACAAACTAGAGGACGTGCCTGAAAATTTTGAGCTAACCCAGCAAGTAACTGAACCTTCTGAGTCATTGGAACCTGAAATGACAAAGCAAAGTGGAAAGTATAATCTTCGCAAAAGTTTAGCTTGGGATAGTGCGTTTTTCACCAGTGCAGGTACACTTGTGTGTAGATTTGATATTCAGAAGTTTTTAGGTCAATGTGATTTAGGTTGTTTCTGTCATCCACATTCCAATTAATAGCGGGGATACACATTTTGTGAATTCAGGTGTTCTGGACTCCGAGGAGCTGTCTTGCATGATTGAAGGAGATAAGACTGGGAAAAAGATGTTACCTGGAATTCAAGAGGAAGTTCACAGATCCACTGATTCAATCTCCACATTAGAAAGTGATACTTTGACACTAGAAAGTATTGAGGCTAATTTGTTTGAAGATGTGAGAGCTTCAATCCAGAAATCAAGTAAAGCATCCAAAGCAGTGAATGAAAGTATGAAAGATGGTTCGGGAGTAACAGAAACCAACAATAGCAGTTGTAAGTATACTTCTGTTTGTACCATACTTCACCAATTCTGAAACCTATACTGATCATGTGTGACAAAGATTTGGACCAAACGGTGATCTCTTGTTTAATCGGACACCCTCATAAATTTGTGAATTAGCCTGGTTTATAAGGTCGTAAATCTGTGCTTGATAGAGAGGATTGGAAGCAGAAATGGAATTTAGTGCCATACTTTTTACTTGTTTCTTCCTTTTTGTCTCTTTTCTTGATACAATCTAACTGTAGAAATAAATTGGAAGTTGATGGGATAGAGGGAATTTAACCAATTCTTTTCTTTAGCATCTCTCTCTCTCTCTCTCTCTCTCTCTCTCTCTCTCTCTAGAGAAGTAAAGGTGGTGTTGTTATATAACATATATTCCTCTGTTGAGGAACTCTGGAATTATTTTGAAACCTTTGTGGTGCCACTGCCTTCACACTTCTCATACCAGCCTATTTTCTTAGAAGACTTATTTTCCATACTAACCAGGCCCTTTCATTTTTCAGCTTCGAAGGGTGTAGATGTTGTTTCTCAAAATAAGGTATGCCAAGTTAATGCGTGAAAGCTTCGGTTTCCTTGATACGATCATAAGAATATCTGAGATAATGTGTTGAGTTTCAGGTGATGCCTAGACTTGCTTCTAAGAAGCCAACTGTTAGTGTGCAAAAACCAGGGAAAGTCAAAAAGCCATCTACATGTCCAGTAGCATCCCAGGTATGTAAAACAAAATATACTCTAGATGGCGTGTTTACATGTCCAGATATCAATGCTAATTATGCTATACCATGCAAATGACTTACTAATCATACAAGCAGTTAGATCTGGAACATATACTACTGGGAAATCAATCTATTCGTAATATTATAACGACGATTTAACCAACTTATCAAGCTTTAATTGTATTTGAATTCAACGTTACAGAGAACATATTTCTTCTTTATGCTGATTTAGTCATTTAAACATTATTAAAAATAGATCTGATAATGATATTTGTAATTGACACATCACTTGTATTCTCTAAATGAAGTCTGTTTCCGCACGTGGAGACGCAACCTCCCTTTTGAAGCAAACAAAGCTATTAGGGAAGCCTAGTCCTAGCCCAACACCTTTAACCAAGAGGGCTTCTCTGGGTAGCAATCTTATCCAAATGGAAAGGGATAACGTTAAAAGCACAACTGGTAACAAGACCTTCCATTTGATTATATTTCTTCATTTTTTTTCCCTTGAAGGTAGAAGTGTTTACACTTGTGATATAAAATAATCATTTATCCTAGTTTGATCACTGCAGGTAGAGGGGCTCCATTGCCAAAAATACCAGAAACTAAGAGAGAAGGAGCTTCTTCCTCAATTGATAATTCCGGCAGTACTTCTAACAACATTGGTCCCTTCAACTCCAAAAGAAAAACTGATTCCAGGACTGCTAATCCACCTTCCTCTGGTTTTACCTGCAAAACACCACCACGAATTGAGCCAGGAAATAAAAGTCAATCTGGAAAATCTCATCTGTCAACTAACAAGGTGCCTGGGACAAAGCTGCTTACTATCACATCCCCTGCTCGCTCATGGTCCTCAGAGTCATCATCATCATCATCAATTTCAACTTTAAACAAAGCGTCATACAGTCCAAGAGTTAGCCTTGACACAGGATCTTCCAAAAGCATCTCCGTAGAAGGTGATGTACCAGAGATTTTGGATTTGGAGAACCATGCCTATGATCAAAGCTCAACTGGAGATGAAACTCAGGTGACTGGGGTGCGTCATCGTTGTGATGTGAAAGCATCAACTGAAAATAGTGCACTTCCTCCAGCTTCAAAACCTTCTGGACTACGATTGCCATCACCCAAAATTGGCTTCTTTGATGGGGTTCGTTTTTCCTTGCTTCTTTTGATCCTTGTGTTCTAGATGGGAAATTATTATCTCCAGTCACTCCCTAAGTTGAATAAGATAAACTATACTGTTACTGAAAGGCCTAGGCTAAATAACTTGAAAGTAGCATTTTTGTGAATGTGATGAAAAATATGTTAGCAAAATCACCTTGTTACTTTTCTTTTGTTTTCTCTTTTAAATAACCATCTGGTGTTGTACTTTATGTAGGCAAAGTCAGTGGTGTCTTCCCCAAAGGGAAGTATGCAGCCTCATCCTGTCATATGTAGTGGCTTGCCTAAAAGTGGGGCACGAAATGTTAGCCTGAGCACGGGACAAAACAAGGGAAAGGTGGGAAAGCTTCAAGCTGTTAGAAATGTATCTAAATTGGGGAATAACACCCCTGATGCTCAAAAAACCTCCTTTAACACGAAACCTATTTCTCAAGTACCACTCCAGCAAGCATCCAGTGCTGCAAAGAAGGTGTTTAGTCCTTCAAGGAACAGCATATCTCCTACAGTTCCAAGTAAAGGGCGTCATAAATCTGGCAGAGAAAATCACTTGAAGTGTGAGAAAGTTGGAACTGAAGGACTTGGTATTGACATTAATGAGCGAGAAAACTGTGTTGTGGAGTTGAAGGACAGCTCTGCTTTCTCGAAAGATAAAGTGAGCCCACAATCGAAGGTTCATTCCCATGGGAAGGCTGCGAAAGTCACTCCTATTGATGGCGGGTCCCCTACTATCTTTGATACAAGTTCCACTTTTGATGCTGACAATATAACCCTTTCTGATAAAATGGGTGATGCAACATACGAACCAAGTGATTTCAAGCAGACGGAAAGATCCCATCTCGAAGATCAGGTTGGTGGCTTGAGCAAACAAGTTGATGCCATGAACATAAACACAGAGACTCAGTAAATGCTGGTTGGTGATTCTCTCTCGTCAACTCAATTTCATTAGTGAAGATAATGCTGGTGCTGCTAGAACTGTGATTCAGATGATGTTCATTGATTGTGCCGAAATGGAGTAAGTCCTTAAATTAAGGCCGGAAAAGACTAGCATTTTCTTGTCACGAACCTTTGCAACGCATGTGGGTTTGTCGATGATTCAAGAGGATCAATTGTGCTGAAGGGAGAACAAGCCGAAATTAGGGCAGTAGCATAGAAGCTGGTCTTGTTACATAGGATTGTTGTGTAGAACTTTGCATTGTAAATTGTTTCTTTGGTGCATATATCAAGAAGAACGCACTTCAGTTGCCAATTAAATGGTTTTTCGTGTACTCTTATTCGATATTATTAAGTCATATTTATGGTGTGTTTGTTTTGTTGTGGACGTTCTTTTTTGTTCCTGTTTGGCAAACTATGAATTGAAAGTCAACTGGGCGGATCCACAATACGAGCCACTATGCAATTTTGTGGACGCTCTTTTCATGTACTCGGTCTCAGACAGAGACTCATCAAAATTACCAAGAGAATATCAGAATTTTGACACAAGGAACTCGAGTTTTGTAATGAAGATGAAAAACCTCAGATAAGTAGCAGATCAACAGCTACAAGATTTGAGGCCAAGCAAAACCTACAGTTCACGCGAAATCTAATGAAACGATACATTTGCCGTGGCGGAACAGAAGAGTGAGCATAATTCCCAAAAGGAACAATTGGAATGTCCCAAAGTTTCAATTAATTAATATCAGTCCTCAAAAAACTTTGATCCTAATTAATATTAATATTAACAAGGATCCACTACAAGAAAAATGACCTATGGATACAAAATTGAGGACACAATTATTTATTTTGTGGGTAACTAACCAATTTTACACACAAAAAAATTGTATCTGTTTCCTTTGTATAAAGGCACTAATTAATGTGCCCATTCTTCTACAAATTTGGCACAAATATTTTTTCAAGACATCATTATAAAAATAATGGACTCAAATTATCATTTGTGCCAACATTTTACTTCTAAAGACACAATTATTTATTTTTTATTATTTTTCAAATACTTAAGGCCCACTTTCTCTGCCCACTTTCTCTGGCTTTCTGTCTCTCTCAGTTAACCCACCCACACCCCACTTTCTCTGCCTTTCTGTCTGTCTCAGTTAACCCACCCACACCCCACTTTCCTCCTTAACCCACCCACACGCCACACCCCACTTCCCTCTCTCTCCCTTTAACCCCTCCCTCTGTCTCTCTACCCAATTTCTTTCTATCTCAGCCAAACAAAATCTATGCATCTCTCTCTACCACTCTTACTTCTCTCAGATCTGAGATTTTCTTTCGTTTTTTTCTTGGAAAAACACCTGTGCATCAGATTTGAGAAACACCAACGCCTCCGCATCTCTCTCAATCTCAATCGATCCGTCTCTCCCTCTCGTAGCATCTCACGCTCAGATCCCAAGTGTCTGTCGTTTGAGAAAGAACTTGAAGAAATGCAAGAGAAGCTTCAGGCAACGAGGCTTTAGAAGGAGAAACCGAGAAGCTCCTTAAGAAGGAGGAGATCTTGAAGTTCAAGAAGGAAGAGCTCCAAACAAAGGGCCAAGAGCAAGACAAGCTTCAGATGGAGTTGAAGAAGCTGCAGGACTTCAAACTCGTCGAGTCGGTTAAGTCTGAGATCGGATCTAAGATTTTGAGGAAGCACCATCGTCTTCACTATTCCTCAGATCAATGCCATAAGGAGGTAGTTGTTTTATATTTTTCCTAATTCGCAATCAAGTTTTCCTTTTTTTTGTTTACTTTTTCAAATTTATCGTAATTTTTTTGGGATTCTACAGTATTTGGAGGCAAAGGGGTTTAGATGGTTTAGGGGTTCGTTTTTGACCTTTGATACCTTGTGATCGATCAACTGGAATTTCAAAATTGGATAGTCTGTATTTTTGTTAGCTAGCTGTAGAGTTGTATGATAAGCTTGGAGGTATTTGAGCTCATCTCAGTTAAATTTATACAATTATGTCCTATAATTTTTTAAGTTTTGAAAACCTGAGAGAAACAGAGTTCATTACCCTGTGGTTTTTCACGTGGGATATAATCCTACCTCTATACTTCTACAATTTTAAAACATTATCTTATATATGACTTTAAAGTTTTTGTTAATTAATTCTTTTTAATCAAATAGTATCTGCATTAGTTTCCTTTCCATATTTCTAGTGTTCTAGAATTTTTAGTTTGTGTGTAATGTTTGAATTGATTGTATTAAAATTGGTTGTGATTTTTTCTTTCTTTTGTATTACAGTAGAACAAAGACATAATCTAATCTATAAAGTTGTTTGTTTACATTCTTTGATCAGGAGCTGCTAATCAGTTATTAACACAACTTTATATTGTTGGGTATTTAAGGACTTATCATTGTCGTGATCATCAGTACCTATATGGCTATCTAGCTTGTGGTTGTGCTGGTCTCTCTATCGGTATGGCTATCAGCATTGTTGATGATGTCGGTGTTAGGTAATATCTCTCTTTCTCTTGGAAAGGATTGGCCTTACTCTTGCTAAGGGTGTAGATATCATATCTCTTTAATTGTTTCTTAATTTATTTTTTGCACTTGCTCCTTTGATCAATTATTTAGCTACATATATTAGAGTCATGATATGATGTGCATTTTCAGGTGAACATTTTCAGTATTATTTTAGATAGTATACAATACCAAATAATGTATTGAAATTTAATATTCTGAACTGAATTCGTCAAATTGTAAATCAGCATGAAGCTACAAGTAGCAACATTGTCAGGCACAAGGAGTTTAGTCTTCAAACACTTGGAATTGGTGGCTTAGGTGCTGAGTTTGCAGATATATTTCGAAGAGCTTTTGTATCCCATGTTTTCCCTCCTCACATGACAAATAAGTAAGATAACTGATTCTTCTAGTTGCGCTGATATCTTTTTGGTATAACTTTATACCACACTCCTTTTTGGAAAGACATTGACCCATGTCGAATCATGATTTAGCACATCATTTTGATGCTAGTACATTATTTTAACAAAGCTATTTGAGCATGTCTGAATGATTTTGGATATGCAACTTATCCTTAGATATAAGTTAGCTATTATCTGCATTGGTGATTGATGAGATTTCTGTTTTTGTGAACTGTGCTAGATTGTTAATGGCCCTGAAGTTTTGAGCAAGTTGGTGAAACTAAGAAAAATGTTAGGAATCTATATGCTGATGCTGAGAATGATCAAAGGGCTCGTGGTAAGGGAAATATATACATGTCAAGTGCACTTAGGCTGGTTTTTCAATAATTTCTAATCTCATTATGCCCTTAATTCCCCTGGAGACCAGAGTGGTTTGCATGCGATAATCTTTGATGAAATGGATGCTATTTGTAAGGTATAAATATTTCCTAGTCTATGCTTTTTACTAAGATTCTTATTCAACTATGATTTATTTTCAATTCAGAAAAAGTTGTGGGACTCTCAGTTTAAGCGAGAAGAGAATGTGGTTTAAGTGAGCTTCATTGCACTAAGAACTTGGGTCCATCGGCTGTAGTGTTGTGGGGGAGGATAGGATTCTGAAGGACTTGGTTGTAAATAACTGAAATACATGTATATTGTGGGATTTGTTGTAAATAACTAAAGTATGTGTATATTATGGGATTTGTTGATTTAAAAGAAAATTCAAATTTTCTACATTAATAATTTTTTTTTTTAAATAGAACCTATTGGGCACGATTTGAAAATTGTGCGTGTATGATCCTGTCACCTGCAATCTGACATGGTTGTCAGAATTAAGACACAAATAGGCTGTTATTTGTGCTGAACTCTTTGAGCACAAATAGCGATATTGTGTGCTATTAGCAATGGTGACGCCCATAGAGGGCACAGACTTAAAGATAGTAGCTGCACTGTTGCTATTGGTCTATGAGCACAATTGTTGGTGCTTTTTGATCTCAAAGGGCACAGATAATTTATTGTGTGCAGTGCTCATTTTTTTTGTAGTGATCAAAAGTTTGGGTCCTAATGAAATAACACTAATTAAGAAATTTGAATCTAATTCCATCCCAATTAGTCATAATTGAACCAATAAGGTAACTTAAAAAAAGAGAAAAATTTAATCGTTTCCAATTTAAACACATGGTTAAAATGAGTAATGACTTAGCCCATTCCCCCCACCCCGTCCAATTACTATAGTTTGTTAAAAAACAAAATTGAGTAACGGCTAATTCCTAGGAGTCAGGACTCTATATATCTTGGGACTGAGTGTTTCTGTTTCTTACTCTCCAAGCAACTACTTAACCCTAAACCAAAACCCTCACTCACTGCCCCCTCTATATCTATAAATATTTCACTCATATATCTATCTATGCATCACTCTTGCTCTCTTGCTTTTGTCCGATCAAAACGCAAAGGCAATCATTAACAGACAGATCAAGAAACGGGGTTTCCATCTCTCTCTCTCTCTCTCTCTCTCTCTCTCCGGTGTTAATGGACAATCATTCCCTTGTGCTGTGCGGTTTCCACTTCAAACCCACCGATCAAGAACTCATCCATTGCTTCCTCCGCGACTTTCTGATGAACAGAGAGCCGCTACTGCTGCCGCCATACAACACCATCATACACGAGTGCAATCTCTTTGGCAACAGATCCGAACCCTCTGAGATATGGGAAGCCTATGAAGGAGGAGCTCAGCGCACCGATCAAGCCTTGTATTTCTTCTCCGAACTCAAGAAATTAAACCCCATGGGTTCCCGCATTGATCGAAAGATTGGAAGCGGAGGTACTTGGAATATTGGCAAGGCAGTTGCCACATGGGTTAATGGGACTGACGGAAACCCTTCGCCCATTGGACTAAAGAGAACCTTCTGCTACAAGAATGAAGGCTCGGAAGACAACGGCAGATGGTTACTTGACGAATACAGTCTTTTCGCCAGTCCTAGAAAGAACTACAGGGATTCTAGGTATGATTTTGATTATGTGCTTTGTCGGCTGAGGAAGGACGGATCACCTGGCATTAACAAGAGAAAGTGTTCGACTTCGGAGGATCAAGCGACGAGTTCAAAGAAGAAGTGCGCTGACGAAAAGATTGAAAAAGATGATGATCACGAGGGATCAAAACAAATTGTGAATGCGATCAATGCTGTTGAGGAGGAAGGACCGCAAGGCACTTCTTGTCTAACTAATGATCTTGTGGCTTTTGATCATGATCAGATCAATGAGTTTACGGTCCGTTATGATGTTGCTGCTTATGATTATGATATTGATCCGAAAGTTGCCGAAAAAATGACCATCAACGTTGCCAAATTAGAAGAACCAGAAGAACTATTGGGTCAAGAATTCCAAGAAGTGCCTCTGCCAACTGCTTCTGGGGTCGTCGTTGCTGATGGAGAGCAAGCTTTGAATTCAAGTATGTTAGAGGAGTTAATTAAAGAAACCCAAGAACTGCCTTTGCCCGCATGTGGAATCGCTTAAGATGGAGCGGTAGAAGAGAAAGCTTGGGATACAAGTTTAGTAGAGGAATATTGGCTTGCAGAAACCCAGGAAAAGGAACCTCAGAATCCAAGTTTAGTACAAGCATTTTACCGCCAGGATCGTTGCTGATAGAGGAGTAGGAGAAGCTTATCATCCAAGTAACTTTGACAATGTGGTTGACCAATCAATATTCGGCACTGGCACTAGTTACTTGAATCTGTTTTTTAAGTAAATTTACTCTTGATTTGTTAATTTGTCGACCAAATAATGGAGATCAAGCCATCAAAGCAGGGCGGTAGTGCAAGTAGCAGGTGGTAAAGGAAAAATAAGATTTTTAATTTCAGTCAAAACTGTAAAATATAGGGTGCATAAGAAACAAATTTCACTTTCCATTAGGCGAAGGCGTAGGCGAGGCATTTATTGGATAGTCCTGTCTAGGCTAAAGCCTTAAGGCATGGGTCCTATAATTTTTATTTCATATATAAAATATAATAATTTGAACAAATATTCCTTGTCATGCAAAAGTACACAAGTCATAAACAATTTTAAATCACAAAAAAATAAAAAAAATAAAAAAAATAAAAAAAAAAAAACCAAAACGAAATCATTCATCCAACTATGGTCCACATACTTTGAAGAAAAAAAAAATTGTAATAAACATATTCTTTCTCTCATTAATATCCACTCATTTTACAACATTAATATGATCCACATACATCTCCCACCTACTTTCTTTCCCTCGGTACACTCTCTCTCCCACTTTCCCTCTTCTCTCTCTCGCTCGTTAATATCTATCAATTTGCAACATTAATATGGTTCACATACATCCTCTACCCACTCTCTTTCTCTAGGTACACTCTCTCACTTTCCCTCTTCCCTAAGGCGCACCTCGACCACATCTAGACGAGCTTTCGCCTTCTCCCACTCGGTAGAAGCGTTTTCACCCCTACCCCACCTCCAAAGTCGCCTAGGCGCGCCTCATGGCGCATTTTTGAAATCATTGCTGTCAATTCACACAAAAACTGATCAAGTAATGATACCTCTGCCACGGAGGAAGCGTGAACAATGTGTATGCAAGCTTCATCTTGCTGATAAGTTCTCCAAGGGATTCAAAGCTTGCAGCAGCCTGCCTAACTGCCACTGGTACAGTTGTAAGGTCTCGATTTGTCTTATCACTGGCTCAATCAATCTTCTGCTTGTCTGCCGGGTCCAATTTCCCATCAACCGTCTCATCCTTGACGATGTTCCTCAGGTTGCAAGTGTAGTTCTCGAGCGAGTTCTTGGCATCCAACTTGTTCTTATCCTCCTCATTTTCAGCTCTCTACCTCTCTGCCTCCAGCACAATCTCTCAATCTCTTCCTTTCTAAGCCTGCCCCTGTCATTGGTGGTCTTGCTCTTCACAAAAGAAACCGCAAACCTCTCAGTCTTCTTCGTTCAGAGGAGATGCAATTGAAAAACTAGGAGGAAACTAATCCCTAGCATAAGAGAAGAGATACAACTGAATCAGGAGATCGAATTTCACTACCCCGAAGGTGCCCATGATTGCCGTATATTTGCAACATTCTTCCACAGCTAGTTCCAAAACATGAACGAGACATATATCTACTGAACTGCCCTGCAATTGTGCAATCTCCGTGCAAATTACGATCATATCAAGCTATATCCAACATAAGAAATACCATTTTCGGTTGGCGTTTAAATTTGATGCCAAGAGTGAGGCATTGTGTGTACAAGTTTGATCTTACTAACAAGTCCTCCAAGATTCAAACTGCAAGTTCGAAATCAAGTCAATATAAATACTTCAGGCATTTGGTCCCAATCAAACAAATACTTAATGGGACCAAATATTCCTGCATTGAGAAGACAAATATATTTACAAAAGAATTTGAATGGGAAATAAACATACTTTTTCTCGTGTGCCTGCACACTCATGTTTAATTTTGTTCGTTATTCATGTTTAATTTATTTAATCCAACATCTAGATATATAAAAAAAAAACAAAAGTGAATAAAAAGAGAACAAAAGATGTGTGTTTATCATTTCTCATTTAATATTTGATTTATCTTTAGTATAACTCCACTTTCAATCCAAGAATTAAAATACCTCCAAATATTTTGTGTTTAATTTGCTTTTAGTAGACGGCATAATAATTTATGCTTGCTAGGGTCTTTTGATGTCCATGATTAGTGAGAACAATATTACATGCTACGGTCTTTTGTTACCCATGATTGCTGAGAGAAGCATATGCTTTTATCGTTGAGGTTAGAATTCTCAATTACGTTTTATTATATTTATAGGAGAAGGTTGCTTAAAGCTGACCCTCAAAATATTCTTCTATTGTTGTCCATTTCATCATCTTTTTTTTTTAAATTTTCGTTACAAACGATATTCCTACTCTAACTCTAAGCTACACTAAGGAGAGGAGCCATAAAGGGTTTAAACCCGAGACCAAGTGATTTGAAGAGGAATTTTCTATCCACCAGGGTAATCCACCACTTGCTTTCTTCATCTTTCTAACTTGAAACATAGATGCAAAACTTGAAATGACACAAAGCATACCCGGGATTTTATGTGACAAGGCGGAAGATTTAGCGCAAAGGCGAGCAGATGCATGTGCATTTTGAACCCTTTAGTCCGGAAAAGGGACAGTGTCCGGTTTGAATCCGGAAGGTCCGTTCGTTACAAGGGACTGGATGCATTAGGTCAATATTAAGATAATGCAACCATGAATGGTAATGAAATACGAACTGCATTGTGCTTTTATTAACATAGATGGAAAGACTCAAAAGTAAAATACAACATTAATCAAGTCTAATCCATAGCGATACATCAGGTGAGATAGGACTTTTAAAAGGTTCGCCAGTTTCCACATACCTATACAGTCTACAAACATCGGTCTTTACCTCCATACGAAACTTGGGTACCCTCCAAAATACCTGTCAAGATTACAACAGAACATACTGAATCCAACAAAAAAATAACGAGCAATGATAAGCAACTTGTCCCATAATTCCGACTAGTTTTGGCCCTTCTTCCATAAGACGCCGATCTTCTTTAACATATTCCCGTTTTTCTTCTTCGGCGAGTCATCATTCATGTCTTCTGAATAAGGCGAACTCAAGGGATTGTAGTTGTTGCAGTCAAGAGAACCTGTTCTCTCGACAAGTTTCCCATTGTTTCCAGTTGAAAGCATGGCAGCAGCTGCCTCAGCGGCCTTCCTCCACTGATCCGCCTGCACTTTTAACTTCCTTAACTCAGCTTCCATTTCAGAATTTGCAGCCTGTGCTGCATCCAGCTGCTCAGTCACCCGTGCAGCTCTCCTGGTACTTTTATCTGCTTCCTCTGTCACATAGCCAAGTTTCATCAAAGCCTCTCGCTCTGCAGCCCTTGCAGCTTCTGCCAAAACAACAGCATCATCATTAACTTTATTCCTCTCCGTTTCCTTGGTTTTAAGTTCCATCTTGAGCATTTCATTCTCCTCAGCTATATTCTGCAATTCTGTCTCCTTATCCAACAAACTCGCCTTTAACTCTACCATTACAGTCTCCGACTTCTTTAGCTCCAGTGCAATTGTGGATTCATTTTCAGTTATATTTTTCTCAATTTTCACGGCAACCCCATCATTTTTCTCCGATGTACTCTCTAATTCAGTTTCCTTATCCATTAGCTGTGCTCTCAAGTCTTCAATATGATCCTTTGCTTTCTTCATTTCTGCTGCCAGCTCAGCTTCCCTCTCCGACGCTTCAGATTTCGCAGCGTCAAGTTTCTCGTACACATTCCTAATCTGTAATGTGCTCTGTATGTATTCTTCCTGGTACCTGACCTCAGCCACATCCAATGCAGATCTCAATTGACCCACTTCAGATTTCAAAGAATTCAGTTCTGCTTGTAACTGTCTTCTTTCTTCATTTTCTTCACCTTCCTTAACAAGTTTTACATTGTCTGCAGAGTTTACCAAATGATTTCCGTTCCTATTAATCAGTTCTGCTTGAAGTTTGCTCACAAGACCCTCCAGTGATTTAACTCGAGCATTGGATTGCTCCAACTCCAATGGTAGGGAGTTGTAAGACTCCATGGCTTTCATCCCATTCAATTTGAGCATTTCTATGGTTGCATTTGCGGCTTCCAATTGCATATGAGTGCTTTGTATAACTTCTAGGGCCTGGGATTCAGATTCTTTGCATTCATTGAGCTCAGTCTTCAATTTCTCAACCAGAGATAAAGTTTCGGAAAGTTCCATTCTCAAGGTCTGGATCTCACCATATGCTGACTCTGCATGCCTGTTTTGGGCGTCTTCAGACTCAGCCACCCTTTCGAGCTGTCCCTTTAGATTCTGAATTTCATTCATAGCAGAAGCCAGGGCAGTAGAATCCATAGCACGCTGCTTTTGGACAGCGTCGAGTTCAGACTCCCATGCTCTATCCCGATCCTGAGACAGTATACGAAGTTCTTGAAGACGAGCATCTTCAGAAGTAGAAAGTTCCAAAAGTTGCTGTTCGGATTCTTCAAGCTTCGCAGACATGGCTAATATCTGGTTCTTCGCTTCTTCAGCCTCCTGCTGGGATTGCCTCTTCAGCGACTCAGTTGAGTTCAACTGGTCCTTTGTCTTCTTCAGATCCTCTTGGAGTTGAGCAAGTTGCGTTTCCAATTCTGAAACTCTTTTCGGTTGCTTTTTCTGAAGCTCAAAACAAGAGAAAGGGGCAGTAAACTAATTAAAAACTATGATATTTTCATATCAAAGGGTAGACGATCAATACACTTGAACAGTGTTGGATGCATTAGCTATTCCAAGTATGATAAGAAGCAACACTAGAGAACCTTCCATAATTCACAAAGCTATAAGTTCTCAAAAAGAATACCTCAGGTACTGGGCTTTGTGGTGACCTGCGCTCAATGACTTTTGGACTTCTGTTTTTCGGAGTCCTCTTTGCCATATTTGGAGAAGATATCGAATCAGGCTCTGATCCAGGTGTCTTGGTAGTTCGAGGTGTTACTGGAGATCTCCTTTGAGGCACTTCCAAAGAGCCAGTTCTGCTATCGATTAGGAAAGGCATTTAAATATTAGAAGACATGCATCAAATACTAAAAATAAAGATAAATTGCACAAATTGATGCATTAAGAACACGAAACACAAAAAAAGATAGATTCAACTTATAGATGCAAATACAATTTTGCTTCAAGTGGATTCACCCATAACTGGACTGATTAAGCATAAGTCACCCAAGCATTGCGCAAGCTGCTTCTTAGACATACACTAGAAAATGACGAAGAAATTCCATAGCAGCCTAACTCCAACAAGGATCATTCAGATACAGTGCGAGAATAACTTAGGCAGAAAAGGGAAAAAAAAAAATGGATTCTTACAATATAACACGAATTCTGATGATACTGGCACATAGCACGAATTCCGCATGGACAAATACAAATATGATACGTATCACTCTAAAGACTATCCTGTTTCGTTTTCTTACCTTATTGTGTCGCCGTTACTTTTACAGCCAATGTTTCAAAATACTTGCAAAAAAGGACACAAGATTCGAAGACTAATAGTGATTATTAGCACACAACAACATTAAGCAAACAAATGTTAATGTTCTTATAAAAGACGCAAATAGAAGTTGATCTTACTTTGCTTTTGGTGTCTGCATCTTCGACATCTATTTGTTATAACCGCTGATTGTGTTGTCCTAATTCAATCTCCCTTTCAAATCCCCTGACCCACAACACCTGAAGTAGTTCAGAGAAACAATCATTGGCTGAGAGAGAAACATCAACGAGAATATCATATATATATATATGCAAACAAAAAACACAAGAAAAATGGCTCACAAAAGATGGCCACCTTAGATCCGTTTTTCTACAAAACCTAACAAACAAACAAACAAACACCTCCCTTCAAAGAAATCCCACTAAAACTAACACCACTACTACCAACCAATCCCACAAAGTAGTCAATAGATATATGTGTGTGTGTGTGTGTGTGTGTGTATATATTTAATAAAGAAAGCTGCAGCTGCAAGATTCATTGGGTATCATTAAGCAAGCTATGCCACAACCTTTTCAATTGCCCTTCTCCTTTGCCCACCTTTATACTATGTTCCAAACAAAGATTTAAGACACAAGGGGCCAGCAAGAGTTAGCCACGTCTCATTGCCGCTTGTTAATTTTTACTTTGCATCAATGCCAAATTGCCAATGATTAAAGGAGGGTCTTTGTGTTAATAGCTGATTAACTGTAGGCATACTGGACCCAGCAGAGCACAGATGAACCCCATTTCTGTTTGTTTGATGAAAAACCCAATATTTCTTGATTAACTTTTTCTGCAAATTAAAAACTAGGACATAATATCCTTAAAAAGCAGCAATGCAAGCAAATGAAATTACAAGTGTTCTTAAATTACAGTAAATTACAGAACGAATATATTAATGAAACCCATAGATTGACGAAACAATGGATTCGAACAACAGATCTACAGAAAATTAAACATGAATAACTTAAAGAGAGAATCTTGGAACAGAGCTTCACGGTTAGCAAAATGGGAAAAAAGAAATGTTCTGGACCAAAAAATTTTAAAAGAGAAAAAATTAATGAAAAGGAGGAAGCTTTAGCTCTTCTTCTCCAGTAACTCTTCAAAAACCAGAGATTGCATTTGAAACCAGAGCTTGCAAGGTAAGAGACTTTGAGCTAAAATACCACAAACCCACATTTTCATTCAGAACCACAAGTTCCCAAACATTTAAATTAAACCAAAAAACAAATATAACGTAATAACAAACTAAAAGCAACAGAACCCATAAATTCACTGTCTAAAACAAGCTCCTTAAACCCAGAAAAGTTAACACATTTTCAATAAAAAGGCAACTAAACCCAGAAATTCATAGGCTAAAACAAGCTCTTGAAACCCAGAAAAGGAAACACATTTTCAACAGAAGGGAAAAAATAAGAGTAAAATCAAGTTGAAAGGATAGTATAAAAATGGGAAAAGTTTTGCAAAGAAAACCATGACACAAAAATATAATTTGAATCCCTCACTCCGTAGTTTAGATTAAATTAGAATATCGTTCAAATAATTAAAAAAACATGACATTTGGTCTTACCAGAAAGATCTCTGCCTCTTACTGGGGTGGCTAATATTGCAAAAGGTTGGATGGTACTAATTAGCAGATGTTGGCTTTGAAAATGGCAGAAAGCCCTAGAGCTTGCTTGGTAGCTGCTTCTGGGTGTCCATTTCCCAAGTGAGTGACACTCTTTTACTCCATTTCTTTGTATTTGTCAGTGGAGGGAGGGAAGTGAGCAGTAGAACAAAGCAATGCCTGACGCGCCTATTAATTCACACGCTCCAATCACATGGGTAGTAGGTCTTACCTTATGTGATTGCTACAGCTACCCAAATAGTTTTGGTTTGGGGGAAGAGCAAAGCTTAATTCAAGTTCCAACATCCAAAAAATGGGGTGGATTAGTGATTATTTATAGTGTACTCTCCCGTCTTAAGGTAATCCCAATAATTTGTTTCCATTAGGCCCTCTATGCATAATTTGTTGTCCTCTCAATTCCCTTATTAAACTAATTTCTTTGGCTGTAAAACAAATCTTAGGTATCCTCCGTGATATACGTAACTAATCATGTTTGATAAATACGATAATGATGATCATTTATGTGTGCATGCATAATCGTGAGTCACACATTGGTGTGAGTCGTACGTTAGACCTTCCATAATCGTTTTGGTGAGTTTAATTTCAAAATAAAAGAATCAGACACCTTGAGTTTTATTTCTATAACATTATTACTACATTTGTGTGTGTTTGGTAGAAGAGAGTTCTATTTATTAATAGTGTGTAGAATTATCAGAGACACGGGCCATACGGCTCACTTCCAACAACATCGATATTGTTCCTAACTTGGTAATTATCATCTGCACAATCCGTCAGGTGTGAGGTTTTATCACAAAAAGCCTCGATGTTAGTTGGAGTGGGGTTAGATATTTAAATTCTTCTTTTTTCATTGATACGGTCAATGTGAAACATTTCAACACGCCTACTTCCAACAACATCGATATTGTCCCCAACTTAGTAATTATCACCTGCACAATCCGTTAGGTGTGAGGTTTTATCACAAAAGGCCTCGATGTTAGTTGGAGTGGGGTTATGATATTTAAACTCTTATTTTCTCATTGATACAGTCGATGTGAGACATTTTAACATAGTGGAACCCATCTATTTTTTCTACTATTTTATAATCCCCAACCTTTACTCCCATAAAACTAATTTTGTGTTCTACTACAGGAGTTTGATTCTGATAAAATTAGAATCAAACCCAATTTTTCTGCCCATTGTGAAAGAGCTTAGCGGTGACAGAAATAATATTACTTAATAAAGATTCATGCTTAATTAGGTACGGAGATTATTCATGACCCCAATTTTCAATAGTGTTTATAAGACTTTCAAACTATAACTACTTTAAAATAATGAAGAGTTGTTAGTTCTTCTCAGTTTTCAATTCCCATGTTTCCAATTTGGTCTTGGAATTAAGGCATATCATCCTTCACATATCCACAGCTCTAAACAGCTGGCTTGCACAAGCAATTGGGACACACTTGGATTTGTCAAAGCTTCAATTTTTCAAGTTTTCTTCAAAGGTTTTAGAGCCCATTGGATGTTATAAATTCACCAACTTGTTGATCCCCAATTGTTACTTGGAACTTTCTCGTCCTTCCTTTGACCTAGGACTCTTGCTTGGTCAAAGCAACTGATCAATGCAACTGATATAGAATGACTGATAAGACATAGATTGATTAGGCTATGGATGCATTTTCAACCGTCACATGTGCTAAGTCTTTTGCTTAGGGTTTACGGGACACAAATGGCTGGTAATTAGCTAACTAGTTAGGTCCTTTCTTCCATGGGGTCCATCCCCCCTCCCCCCCCCCCCCCCCCCCCCCCCCCAAAAAAAAATTGCACCAACCGCTTTGTACTTGCAGTTATTTGTATGCTCAAACTATAGGCCTTCTAGCTTTGTCAAGTCAGTGCAGTTATTAAGGAGTAATGCATTTGGTTTAGAAAGTTCCTTCTGCATGATGAATCGTAGTGTTATTGCAGAAATTCATAGGTGCGGAAGTCTAGGTCACGTTGTTTTCTGATCACACACTCAAAGTGCTCAATCCACCACCACCCCCCCTCTTGTCCACCTACGTTCTTTTGTCTAATGCCCTAAACAAGTGTTCGGACACAAAATTCTCTCGTGTTTGCTACAATCGGTCATTCCAATTATCAAACTTATAGATCTCGGTATTGTTATTTATTATAACTATATTCTCGTGTTAGGATGAAGTGTATGCTTGCTTTGAGCATTATAATTTTCTTAAAAGTAACAACATTGAGTGAATTCTTAGGTGTGAACACCCAGAGACCACGTGGTCGTCTTACTGCACACACTAAGCCTCTCATCTTCCTTGTGTCTGGTGCCTTGTATGAATAACCAAACACAAAATTATCTTGTGCTAATGCTACAGTCAGTTCATACGCAGGCGTGCGATTCCTTATTATTGAATCACACTTATTATTGAAGCAAGCAAGACCCACAGTATATCGAAAGGTAGGATTCACCCAACGCACACATGGGCAACCGACTTAGTCCACAATAAAAGCTTATAAAAATGCAAAAAAAAAAAACAAAGAAGATAGCCTTCCCATTATATCAAAGCGTTGTCAAGTGTCCTTGCAGTGTGCATGGCATGAGTTGATATAAGTTAAAGAATGGTGCATTCATTTCTTTAATTCTATCATGTCAAACGTAAGTGGAAATCAAGGTCGCCTGTTTATATATGTCATAAAAATAGGTTATAATTTTGTTCATTTCCTCGAACAGAAAGAGGTAAAAGCAAAAGATCGATCTGGAAAAGCAAAGGGAAAGTCGCACTCATTGCTCAAAAGTTGCACTAGAGACTAAAGCTTCGGTTGTTGTTTTAACTTTAAGACTTCTCTGAAAGGGAGAGGGTATTTAGTACGTACTTATCCACAACAACTTGATGTATCATAGGCTAGCCATCCATTCATCCGATTAGGTTTTTATATTTTATACGTAAATTGGTTTGTTGCTTGTACAATGATCAAAATGAGATAAGGAAGGGGGGCTGGAGGTGGGGATCTTTGTCTATAAATTACATCATTTCTCCAACTGCTAAGGAAACAAAATAATGCCTTTGCTTAACTAACTTGCACTTTGCATTATGATTGTTTTATTGTCACTATCATCATATCAGTATTACTGTAACTCGAGTCCAGTGATATTTTTTTCTCAATATAAAAAAATTTCAAATTTGAATCCGTTGATCAGAAAAGAAATGATGAAAAAAAATATTCAATTAGTATTAAACATGTATAATGTGTAAGTTTTATGGAAAAACTCACAGAGACATTTCAACCTTTCTCTGACCAACATCGTGTGTAATTCACCAACACCAGAAATCGAACTCAAGACCAACATGTGAAATACAAGCCTGAAAAATTCTCCCCAACCATTGAAACACCCTGTGGTGGTTAATTCACATAGCTTCATTCCGCCCATACCTTCTTGCGTTATTTCTAAGCATGCGGGAGATGAAAACTTGACAAAAATGAAAGACTTTGATCTCAAAATATGTCCATCAGATCACACATTACAAAAATTGATCACTAATTAAAAATGAATGTACATTGTACTATATCTAATACCTATAACTAAACAAGCCATTTATTTGATCCAATAAAACTTGAATAATTAATTAGCAAGTTTATACAACCAAGACATAAACTGCATATATAATTCCTGGTATATATCCAAACAGCGTCAGCAATACGGCGATCCAAAACTCCACCTGCAATATCCCAAAATAAAAACGACAATGATAAAACTATTTTGTACTATCTCTAGCCACGTGATGATAGAGATAAAATTATATGCAATGAGTTCTAGTCATGTGACTGGAATATAACCACATAATTTTTATAAATAAAAGTTATTTTTTTCTCATAACTTTTGAAACTAACGCATTCAAATTACTGGACGAAGATAGATACATAATTGTATACACCTGATGATAATTTTTTTCTTCTCTCAAATGTGTACACAACAAATTCAAACTTCGGTTAGATAGATTACTAGATCGCTAGTTGAGATAAGTAACTGTAAAAGAACTCGATCTCAATACAAATGGTAAGAATGATGTGACTTACCCCGCAGCCATAGCGAATGAAGACACCAACTGGTGGAAGAAAAATGGCACACAAGACTTCTAGGAATGTCTCGGATCCCATCTTATTAATTCACTGAATTATTATTGCTTTTTTGTTTGTGGCAGATGGTTTGTATTGGGAGAGATGACGAGATGAACATGCAAAGTTAGTTGTGGAAAACCGCAGGAACAAAGGCTACGTTTACTTGGCCAGTAGTACACCTGTCTTTAATACACGTGTCCTTCATTCCACCAAACAATGCTTTGGTGGGTTTATCATTTAGGATTATGGGCTTGGTGCTGTTATGATACTTTTAGGTAATAGCTGCCTAGACAATTTTATTTTTACAACTGTAAGTGATATTCTATGCTAAATGATATTCTATACTAATTTATATTTAGTTTGGAACACAATGAGTTAAAATAAATGCCCTACCTATTGACGTAGTTCACTACTTGCTAGATGCCTAAACATTAGCAGATTCTAAATGATTTTTTTTTATTTTTTTATTTTTTTTGCTGCAACCTTGTAAAGTACAAGATGTATGGATGAAGTGGAAGAGTGCATTGGATGTTGTGCGACTGTTGTACGTTATTAAAGCTTAAGGGATAATTATAAAGGACGACAATAAGGCCATCAATGCTTTACGGCACAGAATGGACAATCAAACATCAACACGTGCAAAAGTTAATGTAGCGGAGATGAGAATGTTTTGTTGCATGTGTGGGCACGCGAGAAATGACAAGATTAAGAATGAGGATATTAAACGGTGGAGCTAGACTATTGTCTGGGCCACTTGTGTTGACGTCCATTGAGCCCCATCGCCTTCATAGTAGCTGTTTGGGCCAGATTTGCTTCGACAGCCTCCAATGCTTTGTGGGTTCCACCACATACTTGGTTCTTCTTTTTTTGGTAAATTGGGTATGCATTGCTAGGGAAAAATGGTCGAGGGAACACCAAAAGCCTAGAAAGAGGCTAACAAACATACACAACAGCAACTTACAAGCAAATGAGTATTAAGGTGCATAAGAGAACAAGACAATCCACTTTGTGCAAGAATGTCACCCCCCTAAACATTCGAAAACACTAATGAGAAAGAGGACAAGACAATCCATCCTTGTTGAGAATGTGCACCAATGAAGACAGGGGTCTACAGGACCTATGTGCCAACACTCATCTTAAGATTCTTAAATGATGCCCATATATCCCTTGCTATATTAACTGATTTATCCAAGACCAGCAACAAACTTGAAAGGATTCTCCCAAATGAATAATTTTCTTCAGTGTAGGAAATGCCTCCCAACTGCCATAATGAATGGACTGCTTTTCGACATAAAATCGTCTCCTTTGAATCTGATTCCACTAGCTTGGCTTTGTCCACTGGTGCAACTAAGTTTTGGAGAAAAATGTCCATTTGCCTATGCATTTGGATACCAGTGGAGTTGCTTTAATTGATTACACCTTTCAACAGATTGGAGGTGTACAACACAACGATTTCATAAGACTCTTGAAAACCCGTATTTTAATATTCATTTTAAATATGGATTTTTAAGAGAAATGTATTGACACTCCAAAAGGTCAATGTGTACTATTTATAAGTGTACTTTTATTGGGTTTTAAATATAGAAAGTTTGGAGTGTACAATGACTTCTTTGGAGTGCCAATAACTACACATATTTTTAAAATACGTGTTTTCACGACAATATACACAAGCCCAGTTTGTTTAAAGTTGAGAGAACATAACACAACACGAATTTTGATGAGCTAAGCCAAGCATGACACGAGAATGTGGGATAGCGAGGACGAAGATTTTGGAAAAACGAGCAAACATAAACTTGACGACACAATTTTTTATAAAGTAATTGGATAATCTAACCATCCCTTTAAGGCATGACACACTCGTATAATATTCAGTCTTGTGATATGTTGGGCTTTAGGTTTAAAATAAAACATTTATGGGAAACGAATGAGAGCTTTTATTTATGTAGATCAAACCTTGGCCTCGAAAAGGGTCACCTTTTTTCCATCCTTGTCTAGCTCGATATCAACTATTTTTCCTACTATCTTCTACCCTCATCTAATTCCAACCACCCAAACCCAAGCGAAACCCTTAAGTTTTACCCCAAGGTCGAGCTAATACTATTGTTGCTGGAGAACCACTATAATATACCGTGATTATTGAAGAATCTCTCAACTGTTGAAGTATAAGCTCTGTAGCTATAGAAAGATCACATAAATGATGGCTGGAAGTTTAAGTTTTGTTCTTAGGATTGCAACATTTGTTCTAAGTTTAAGCTTGTAAAAGTTTGTAATGGATGGTCACGATTATGAAATCCAGAGGCTCTAATATGAATTTCACTGTGTACCAGCACCCTAATAAGTTATTTGCACAATGCCGGAAAGCTTGATGAAGCTCATGAAGTAATAAGTAATAACACATATGATGGAGAAGTGGCAGTATACCTAGCTACTTTCAAAGTTCAATGGATATAGGAGTTGTTAAAGTGGTAAATTCTTTTATTTGCAATATTTACTTGCAATCTCATAAGAAGAAATTAATTGATTCAACTCAGTTAACAATATGTAGCTCCAAGGTATCTTAGTTATGCCATGATTGAACTTTTAATCTGAACCATTTAACACATCTCAACAGGTGACAAATAGTTAGGGATGAAAAGTTGGTGGAAATAAGATGGTTCAAGAGGAAAAAATGATTGCAAATAGTTGGGGATGAAAATTTGGAGGAAAGAAGTTGATCACCCAAAAAAAAAAAAAAAAAAAAAAAAAAAAAAGAGGTCACCCAAACAAGTTTTATCTTCTTCTAATGCAAATCTCAACAGGGTTCTGATAATAACCTATAAAAATCAATCAAAGCCAAAAATCAAGTCCATAAAAATCCTTAAAAAGCCATATAGAAATCCTTAAAATTCCATATGAAATTTGTAGGAGTTTTCAAATCCTATCAAATCTATTACTTTTAAAATCTTTTAAAATCCTCCTAATTCCTAGATTGACAACCGACTTAAATACATTATTTTGTGATAAGAAAATATTAATGGATAAACTATTTCAATAAAATTAAGGATATTAAAATTGAAATTTATTGTTAAAATAAAAGAAAAAAAATCAAATTAATTCCTACATCAACTAGAACATATTTCATGGCTACAAGACCCTTGCCAAACCTGAGTGAACGTGATCAATTACAAAACGTTGCATATTAGTTTCTATATCAAGATACATAATACATAAATGGCTTAGCTGGGGGTATATTAGGAATCCAAAAAAATATGAAAACTAATACACAAGCTTAATTTGGTAAGTTGTTTAGTTGGGTCCTAATCACTGGGTTCTATTCAGATAAAAATAATATGATGGATTATAGGCTAGAAAAAATAAGTTTGGAGGAGGAAGTTAAATTTTCAAAAAATTTTAAGTATGAAAGTTGAAATTTCACGATGCTTGAGGGTAATGAAGTGAGAATTACCGTATAATTAAATTACGTACCCTTGCCAAATTGGGATGAGTTAGGACGAAAATTTTGTCACAACGAGCTGACAAAAATATGGTGTGACCAAATATAGGTTAAGTCGGGGTTTGTTTGTCGAGAAAAATGGGTTGGGACAACACGATTCAAGCATGGCTTGTAGCCCACTTAGTCTCATTGTACATGGTTCGGGCTGACTCGTTGTACACTTTTACAAGTAATACTATTTCAGGATCATCTAATATGATGAGGTTTAATTCGTCGTTAGGCCGATCAGGAAGAACACTGCATTGAGAGCAAGTTGTCAAGGCTTCAATGAAGAAGAATCATCTTAAGAGTCTTTATATTTTGTTCACCCGTATGTGAAAGTTGTGAGGAGATTGTTATCTTTGGTTGTGGGGCAAAGTATGGAGGCTATAGAACCTGTGAAGGGAATCAAGGTTAGCTATTGAAGGTTGTGGCTCATTCCTATTTCACTTGACTTTGCTTGACAAGAGTAGATATGAATGTGGCAAGCTGTTTGGTTACATATCCTAATCATTGAAGGCTTAAATGTACTTTTATTGATTTTTAAATATAGAAAGTTTGGTGTACACAATGACTTTTTTAAAGTGCCAAGCATGACACAAGAATGTGGGATAGCGAGGATGAAAATTTTGGCAAAATGAAGAAATGATGGCTCAAAGTTTAAGTTGTGTAGCTACAAAAAATTGAAGAAATGATCACTGAAAGTTTAAGTTTTGTTCTTAGGATTGCATGATTTGTTCTAAGTTTAAGCTTGTAAAAGTTTGTAATGGATGGTCATGATTACGAAATACAAAGGCTATAATTCAATTTTCACTATGTACAACATCCTAGTAAGTTATTTGCACAATGCTAGAAAGCTTGCTGAAGCTCATGAAGTGATAAGTAATAGCACATATGATGGAGAAGGGGCATTATACCCATCTACTTTCAAAGTTCAAGGGATAATAGGAGATGTTAAAGTGGTAAGTTCTTTTATTTGCAATATTTACTTGCAATCTCATAAGAAAAAATTAATTGGTTCGGCAAAGTTAACAACATGTAGCTCCAAGGTATCTCAGTTATGCAATGTACTGAACTTTTAATCTGAACCATTTAACATATTTCAACAGGTGATAAATAAGTAGGGATAATGTCACATCCTGGCCCGGGGCGGATCACTTCCCGGGCCCGCTTCCACTACCGTAACACGATATTGTCCGCTTTGGGCTTACCATTCCCTCACGGTTTTGTTTTTGGGAACTCACGAGCAACTTCCCAGAGGGTCACCTATCCTGGGAGTGCTCTAGCCCTCTTCTCGCTTAACTTCGGAGTTCTTACGGAACCCGAAGCCAGTGAGCTCCCAAAAGGCCTCGTGCTAGGTAGAGATGGAATATACATATAAGGATCAGTCCCCTGGGCGATGTGGGATATCACAATCCACCCCCCTTAGGGGGCCCGATGTCCTCGTGGGCACATACGCGACCAGGGTTAGGCTCTGATACCAAATTGTCACATCCTGGCCCGGGGCGGATCACTTCCCGGGCCCGCTTCCACTACCGTAGCACGATATTGTCCGCTTTGGGCTTACCATTCCCTCACGGTTTTGTTTTTGGGAACTCACGAGCAACTTCCTAGATGGTCACCCATCCTGGGAGTGCTCTAGCCCTCTTCTCGCTTAACTTCGGAGTTCCTACGGAACCCGAAGCCAGTGAGCTCCCAAAAGGCCTCGTGCTAGGTAGAGATGGAATATACATATAAGGATCAGTCCCCTGGGCAATGTGGGATGTCACAATTAAAAAGTTGGAGGAAAGATGATGGTTGAAGAGGAAAAAATGATTGCGGATAGTTGTGGATGAAAAGTTTGAGAAAAGAAGTAGATCACAAAAAAAAAAAAAAAAAAAAAAAAAAGTTTGAGAAAAGAAGTAGATCACAAAAAAAAAAAAAAAAAAAAAAAAAAAAAAAAAAAATGTTACCCAAACAAGTTGATTTTCTTCTGATGTAAAATCTCAACAAAATTTTGATAGTAACCTATAAAAATCAATCAAAATCATAAATCAAGTTCATACATCATTGTACATGGTTCGGGCTAGCCCATTATTACACTTTTACAAATTTATGTTATTTTAGGATCATTTACTTTGAAAAGGTTCAATCTGTCTTCAGGGCGATCAGGATGAACATTGCATCGAGAGCAAGTTATGAAGGCTCCAATTCTTTCAAGAGTCTCTATACTCTCTTCAAGTTGAACTAGTGTGCGAAAGTTGCAAGGATAATTTGCCTTTGGGTGTGGGGCCAAGTATGGAGGTTATGGAACCCATGGAGTGAATTAAGGTTAGCTATTGAAGGTTGTGGCCAATCCCTATTTCAGTTGACTTTGCTTTACAAGAGTAGATACGAATATGGCAAACTACTTGGTTACATATTCTGATCATCGAAGGCTTAAATGCACTTTTATTGGGTTTTAAATATAGAAAGTTTGATGTGCACAATGACTTCTTTGAAGTGCCGAGCACGACACGAGAATGTGAGATAGTAAGGAAGAAAATTTTGGCAAAACGAAGAAATGATGGCTGGAAGTTTAAGTTGTGTAGCTACAAAAATCGAAGAAATGATTGTTGAAAGTTTAAGTTTTGTTCTTAGGATTGCATAATTTGTTTTAAATTTAAGCTTGTAAAAGTTTATAATGGATGGTTACGATTACGAAATACAGAGGTTGTAATTCAATTTTTATTGTGTATAGCACCCTAGTAAGTTATTTGCACAATGCTTGAAAGCTTGTTGAAGCTCATGAAGTGATAAGTAATAGCACATATGATGGAGAAAGGGCAGTATACCCATCTACTTTCAAAGTTCAAGGGATATAGGAGATGTTAAAGTAGTAAATTCTTGTATTTGCAATATTTACTTGCAATCTCATGAGAAAAAAATTAATTGGTTCAACTCAGTTAACAATATGTAGCTCCAAGGTATCTTAGTTATGCAATGTATTGAACTTTTAATCTAAACCATTTAACACATTTCAACAGTTGACAAATAGGTAGGGATAAAAATTTGGAGGAAAGAAGATGGTTGAAGAGGAAAAAATGGTTGTGAATAGTTGGGGATGAAAAGTTGGAGGAAAAAAGTTGATCATAAAAAATAAAATAAAAAACAAAAAAGTCACCCAAACAAGTTGATCTTTTTCTAATGCAAAATCTCAACAGGGTTTTGATAGTAACCCATAAAAATCAATTAAAATCATAAATCAAGTCCATAAATCATTGTACATGGTTTGGGCTGACCCGTTGTACACTTTTACAAGTATATGCTATTTCAGGATCATCCACTCTGATGAGGTTCAATTCGTCGTCAAGTCTATCAAGAAGAACAATGCATCGAGAGCAAGTTACGAAGGCTCTAATGAAGAAGAATTCTTTCAAGAGTCTTTATACTCTCTTCAAGTTGAACTCGAGTGTGAAAGTTGTGAGGAGAATGTTGCCTTTGGTTGTGGGGCAAAGTATGCAGGCTAAGGAAGTCATGGAGAGAATCAAGGTTAGCTATTGAAGGTTGTGGCAAACTACTTGATTACATATCCTAATCATCGAAGGCTTAAAGTGGAGTTTGGATTTGAAGGCAAAAGCATAAAAAAGACATGAGTGATTTGTGAAAGCTTAGAACTCAAAAGGAATCAATTGGAAAAATAGGGTCAAATCTAGAGCAATTAAAGATGGGGAAGTGTTATTGGCACTCCAAAAATCTCATTCTACACTCATCATAAGTGTATTTTTCTTTCTAAATATAGAAAGTTTGGAGTGTAGAATGAGAATTTTGGAGTGCCAATAACAATTCCCTTAGAGATAAGCTACTAAGAAATCTCATTGTTGAATACGGAAGGTTTCACCTAGAGATTTGTGTATTTGAAAAGTCGAAGATGTTCGGTGATGCAAAGAGTCGCCCCTTATAAAATGTTCACAAGCAACATGACATGCTTCATCATTGCTAATATTTGTCATGATTCTCGAGGATGCATGTTTGAATATGGAATATAAAAAATTCGACGGTTATGAAGCCAAGACGCCATCGTAAGAAGAATTAAAACGGTACGTATTCTGACTTACTCTGAAAGGCATAGTCTTTGGATAATATCCATCCTCAAGTGGAACAAGTCTTTTTAGTACATAGTTAGAGGCAATTATGGGACCATAATTTTCAAGGGCGGGAGCATGGAAAAGCGGAATACGAATACCTCAGAAGTTTGGTCACGGACTCGACAACCTCCACAATGGAGCTGAATAAATGGAGCAGTGATGCCATTATCATTCTGCTCTAGAATCAGTGGGCGAAGTCTTATGACTTCGCTGAGATTGACCATGCTTGTTCTACAAGATACGAAAACCTAATCCAACAAGGAATCAATAAGTTTCCTTTAATCTTGGAGTCCTTACAATCTAAGTCTTGACATGCAGCGCAAGTAGTTACACTCCTAAGAGAACGCAATATCTACTTCCTATATATTCTCTGGGATTCTCCAAGTTTAATAAGGAGTCTCTATCTTAAAAGGTCTCATCCTCGACTAGTATATGCACCCTTTTAGAGTATCTGGTAACACAATTAATGCATATTTATTCTTTTGGTCACTACTTGAGTCATATATTGATTATGAACTTGATTGTCGGATAACTTTTGACCAGCACACCCATACCCCCCCTCCATCTTTGGCTAACTCACGGTTTTTGTTCTTTTACAAGTTACTCGCATTTGTAGATCTTCATCCTTCACGCCTGTGCACGAATTTGGTTCCAAAATAGATGATATTATGTACCACCCGAACAAGTCTCTGTTGATTTGATAGCCCACCCCTACCCCTCCTCTTTCGTGTCTAGTGGGACTAATAATTTATAATTACTCAATTTTACAATTGATATTAAGAATGAATGGGTGTTCTTTTTATATTTTAATTTTTTCTTTATTAAGCGATATTATTTATATTAAGGGTAAGGGAGTGGGTTAAGTCTCACAATGGGCGAGCCATAATAATGTGGTTCAAAACCGTATTTGGCAAGAATCAAATTTAAAACCTCTCACTCACAAGTGAAGAGGAATATCACTAGATTGTAGTATTACAGACTTTTAAATTTCAATTTTAATTCTTAATATCTGATCGAGTGACCATAAATCATTAATCCCTAGCCGCTGGGTGACCAAGACAACAAGACCAAATAAATCCAACACTTGTATGTACTAATTTATGCAATGGAAACCCTAGCTAGCTAGGAAAAAAGCACCACTCAGTTTGTCGTTTCTCATGTTTTTGTCTATTGGAATCCGCGGAAGAATTTTTAATGTGTAATCCAATTTTGGCCCAAATGGATTTGGTAAAGTCTAGACATGCGATTTTATTGGCGATTCTAATACCCTAATTTGTACAGCCAAGGAAACGTTACAGCGGCACCTCCCAAAAATCATGCACATTAATCGGTCACTTACTATTTTACCTTCAAGTTTAACGTAATCATGGGACTAACATAAAGCTTCTGAGTTTTTAAAAAACTTTGTGAGTCAACTTTGCACTCTCAGAAAGCAAAACAATGGTCGAACGCTGCCTAATTGCAGCTTCTCTGGCAGCGTTGGTGTGCCATCCAAGCTCCACCATCAAGTGTTTCAAACCCAGGCCAAAACCCACATCCCCACAACAAGAACAACCAAAAGGCAACCCTTCTCCTCCGCCGCAAGGGGCGAAACGACGTGACGTGATTGCCAAGGAAGTGCCCTCAAAATCCAAGGTAAAACCATGCCCCAAGGGAGGTTCTTCATCTCCAAGTCAGTCGAAAAAGAGCGCAAAGAAAACAGTCGCGACACGGATTAATGCGGTCTCGGAGCTTGTCAGCGGAGACCCTTGGATCGGCGTTGTGGAGGATATTTTCCGGTGTAGTTGGGCGGGTGAAATAGGCCTCAAAATTGAGAGGGTGTTGAGGGTGAATCATAGTTTGGATGTTCTTCATAGGTTTGAAGAGTATAGGAAAGTGGTGAAATCCAGGTATGAAAAGGGTCGGATTCTCAAGAGGATGGAGAGGTTGGTGGTTGATGGGAATGAGCTACTGCAATTCCATGGTGGCACCATTACATGTTCGCTAGGGATCAATGGATTCTCAAGTATTTGTCATCGAAAGTGCTGCCAAGTTTGCAGATTAATAGCCGGTGAGTTTACCGGTGAAGGGCTGATATCGTTGTTCGACAACAGTTGGAAGGCGCATGAGAAGATGAGCAAGGAATGTGCAGGGAAAGGAGTGTGTGCAAGTGCAAGGAAGGCTATTGTGATGTGCAGAGTGATTGCAGGGCACATTGCTCATTACTATGCACATGGACATGGAAGGTGGTCATTCATGGATAACGAAGAGGGCGAATTTGATTCTGTCGACTGGACTGCGGATCAATTTAGGGAATCGAAAGAACTCGTTGTTTTGAATTCGGAGGCAGTGCTTCCATGCTTTGTGATCATATATAATGTCAAAAATAAAAATCTTCCATGATTAGAAAGATTATTGGTTTTGTCATGTCTTTCTTATGACTGAAAATGCATATTTCTACAAGCAAAGCCAGATTTATAACACTCTTTCTTGATCTCCGAATTTACGAGTGTCATACAACGAAGATAAAACATCCATGGCATAAAAAATGAGAGGCAATGATTGCTCCTTGCTCTTGTGACCAGTACTAGTCTCGAATGTTCAATGCCAAAGCCGTCTCAGCCGCTCATCCGCCAACCAACGTTGTCAAATGGCTCAAACCAACCAGTCACCCAAGGGATCAACCATGTCTTGATGAAATAAGGGGATATCGTTTGGTCCTGCAGAAACAACATCGCGAGTAAAATGATCGCGAAGGAATAGAATAGAGGCCAAGGGAAGATACTAGTATAATGCATTGAAAAGCTGGTTCAATATCATTAAAAGAGAAAAGCTTACCCTGAATCTGATTCATTGCAACTTCAAACAATGAGACTTGTTCATACTCATAATTAAACTGAAAATAGTGTTCTCGAAACATGGCTACAACCGTCTAAACTCTGAAGCAACCAGTCTCGAGGAACTGATAAAAAATTCAAAATAAAAACTTCGGTCAATGCCAGAGTTCAGAAGAAGTGATAGGGATGAACAATTCCGTCCTTTTGGAAGAGTGACTGACTTGACTTGAACAGTTTTCTTAATAACAATGAACTAATCATTAGGGGATTTTTTTTTTTAACTAAAGGGATGCTAAACAGACAATAAAAGGGTACTGGAAGGGAGTAATCGTGTAAATAGTGCAGAAGATCACCTGAAACAATTACAAGCCCAAGTTTCTTGAAGTGAGTTTATCCCCATGCAAGGTAATCTTCCAGCAATCAACTTGAAATATAAAACAGAAAACTTTCTGGGCACCACTGCAAATAAGCCCAATATCCGTTATTGATTCACAGAACGAGAGGAGAATAAATCATCTACAGCATGCACACATACATGTTTACTTTCAGGGCAAAGTTTTATCAACACAAGAGTTGTACCAAGAACAACTGAATAATTGAAGGTTTGAATAAGCAGCTCAATTACCTCTGAATTTATCATCTTGTGTAATTATCCCAAACGTTTCTGCTGTTTCATGAATCATCATACCACTCACTCCAGTGTATGAAGTTACTTTACACTCGACAACTGCCAGTAAATAGACAGGGAACTACGATAAATACTGGCAGAGAAAAGGGAAGGGGAAGGCGTGTTTGACACTGCCAAGCACTGTGCACGAATCAGTTCAGATAGTTCAAATAGTACGTGCATTTCAACAAGGCAACGGAATAAGTTCATAATTTGATAATGAACAATGTATCCTCGAACCATTTATATAAGAGAAAAAAAATGAAATAACTTCATAAAGCCCTAAATAATTCCAAGATTGATTGACCCAAAAAAAAAAAAAAAAATCCCAAATTTAGGATGTTTGAACATGTTCGAATTACAACAAGCCATGGAGGGAGAGGGAAGAAGGAGAGGGAGTAGAGCTCCAATATGTTTTTTGTATTGATTTCTTTCCTGTAAAACTGATCTTTTCTTTACATCCAGATTCCAGAGCATGAGCTTATATATAAGTTTCCACTAAAACAAATTGCCAGCTGGCAATAACTAATTACTCCCTAATACTCATATTTAATCTGCTAATACATCACTAATTGTGATCAAGATACAGGTTCATAACAGGGGAGGTAGACCTGGCATTCGTGTCGTGTTTCTCGTGTTCGTGTCATTTTCGTGTCATACCCGATAGCTTAACAGGTCGTGTCATGTAATACCTGTTAAAGTAAACGGGTAATATGATCCGACCTGAAATCAACCTGTTAATATTATCAGGTAATATGACCCGACCCGTTACCCGTTAAGAAAATTATATTTTAAATCAATAAAAATGAAAAGAAAAACATAATTTGACCCAAAAAAATGTAAAACATAATACTAAATTAGTATATACATACTAAATTTCGGAGTTGACCCCTTAATGAAAGTTGTAAAGCTTGTCATTACGTGTGATTACATTTTTCACACTTATTATTATTAATTTTTCACTCAAATAAATAACATTGTTCATGAGATTTTTTAAAATCTACACTTATTTATACTTTCATCAAGTATAACATAAGATTTTATAGTATCCACTAGTGTAAATATTTTAAATTGAAGATCGAATTCATTCATTGTATTCATATAGGGTCAATGAGTGTACTTGTAAAAAATCATCAAAATCGGAGTTAAAATAACTCTTAAATCGTAATTTTTTGTTTATAACTGTCGAAAAGTTTTGTCTCATTACTTGATCTCTGAATGTTTTTTTTTGCAATTTTTAGCGTATGCGATCTCGAAGCATATATAAACAAGTTTGACGGTTGGATTGTTGAAATTAGTTTCGTAGGATGCGTATCCCATCAAAAAGATAAATTCACTAACACTTAAGAGTTTATTTATACTTTCATCAAGTATAACATAAGATTTTATGGTATACACTAGTGTAAATATTTTAAATTGAAGATCGAATTCATTCATTGTATTCATTTACGGTCAAGGAGTGTAGCTGTAAAAAATCATCAAAATCGGAGTTACAATAATCGTTAAATCATGATTTTTCGTTTATAACCATCGAAAAGTTTTGTCTCATTACTTGATCTCTGAGTGTTTGATTTTTGCAATTTTTGGCGTCTGCGATCTCGAAGTATATATAAACAAGTTTGACGGTTGGATCGTTGAAATTAGTTTTGTAGGATTTGTATCACATCAAAACGATAGATTCACTAACACTTAAGAGTTTATTTATACTTTCATCAAGTATAACATAAGATTTTGTGGTATCCACTAGTGTAAATATTTTAAATTGAAGATCGAATTCATTCATTGTATTTGTTTAGGGTCAAGGAGTGTAGCTGTAAAAAATCATCAAAATCGAAGTTAAAATAACCGTTAAATTGTGATTTTTCATGTATAACCGTCGAAAAGTTTTGTCTTATTACTTGATCTCTGAATGTTTTTTTTTTGCAATTTTTGGCGCATGTGATCTTGAAGCATATATAAACAAGTTTGATGGTTGGATCATTAAAATTAGTTTCGTAGGATGCGTATCCCATTAGAACGATAGATTCACTAACACTTAAGAGTTTATTTATACTTTCATCAAGTATAACATAAGATTTTGTGGTATCTACTAGGGTAAATATTTTAAATTGAAGATCGAATTCATTCATTGTATTTATTTAGGGTCAAGGAGTGTAGCTATAAAAAATCATCAAAATCGGAGTTATAATAACCGTTAAATCGTGATTTTTCGTTTATAACCATCGGAAAGTTTTGTCTCATTACTTGATCTCTGAATGTTTGTTTTTTGCAATTTTTGGCGTATGCGATCTCGAAGTATATATAAACAAGTTTGACGGTTGGATCGTTGAAATTAGTTTCGTAGGATGCGTATTACATCAAAACGATAGATTCACTAACACTAAAGAGTTTATTTATATTTTCATCAAGTATAACATAAGATTTTGTGGTATCTACAAGTGTAAATATTTTAAATTGAAGATCGAATTCATTCATTGTATTTGTTTAGGTTCAAGAAGTGTAGCTGTAAAAAATCATCAAAATCGGAGTTAAAATAACCGTTAAATCGTGATTTTTTTGTTTATAACCGTCGAAAAGTTTTGTCTTATTACTTGATCTTTGATTGTTTGTTTTTTGCAATTTTTGGCTTATGCGATCTTAAAGCATATATAAACAAGTTTGACGGTTGGATCGTTGAAATTAGTTTCTAAGATGCGTATCCTATCAAACAATAGATTCACTAACACTTAAGAGTTTATTTATACTTTCATCAAGTATAACATAAGATTTTGTGGTATCCACTAGGGTAAATATTTTAAATTGAAGATCGAATTCATTCATTGTATTTATATAAGGTCAAGGAGTGTAGCTGTAAAAAATCATCAAAATCAAAGTTAAAATAACCGTTAAATCGTGATTTTTCGTTTATAACCGTCTAAAAGTTTTGTCTCGTTACTTGATCTCTGAATGTTTGTTTTTTGCAATTTTTGGTGTATGCGATCCCAAAGCATGTATAAACAAATTTGACGGTTGCATCATTGAAATTAGTTTCATAACATGCGTATCCCATCAAAACGATACATTAACTAACACTTAAGAGTTTATTTATATTTTCATTAAGTATAACATAAGATTTGTGGTATCCATTAGTGTAAATATCTTAAATTGAAGATCGAATTCATTCATTGTATTCATATAAGATCAAGGAGTGTAGCTGTAAAAAGTCATCAAAATAGGAGTTAAAATAACCGTTAAATCGTGATTTTTCGTTTATAACCGTTGAAAAGTTTTGTCTCACTACTTCATCTCTGAATGTTTGTTTTTTGCAATTTTTGGAGTATGCGATCTCGAAGCATGTATAAACAAGATTGACGGTTGGATTGTTGAAATTAGTTTTGTAGGATATGTATCCCGTCAAAACGATAAATTCGCTAACATTTAAGAGTTTATTCATACTTTCATCATTTTGATGGGATACGCATTGATGTTATACTTAATGAAAGTATAAATAAACTTTAAGCGTTAGTGAATCTTATCGTTTTGATGACTTGGAATAAATATATTAATTATTTATATATTTTATGTCACATCCCGGCCCGAGACAGATCACTTCCCCGGCCCGCTCCACCACCGTAGCACGATATTGTCCACTTTGGGCTTACCATTCCCTCACGGTTTTGTTTTTGGGAACTCACGAGCAACTTCCCAGAGGGCCACCCATCCTGGGAGTGCTCTCGCGCGCTACTCGCTTAACTTTGGAGTTCCTATGGAACTCGAAGCCAGTGAGCTCCCAAAAGGCCTCGTGCTAGGTAAGGATGGGAATATACATTTAAGGATCAGTCCCCTGAGCGATGTGGGATGTCACAATCCACCCCCCTTAGGGGCCCGACGTCTTCGTCGGCACACACGCGGCCAGGGTT